TCGTTTTCGCGGTGGACAAATTGGGACGGATGGCGAGAAAAGGTTGTCGCCGACAAAGAGCGGTGTCCCCCGCGGAGAGCTTTCGGGATTGCCAAACGGACCGCTATCCTGGCAAATTTATTGGCGGCCCGACGACGTCGACGAGATCCTTTGGTTACTGGTCAGTTTGGTGTAATTAGGTTACGCGCAGGTGTTAACCGAACGGTATCAATTAGAGAGGGCAACCAATCGAAAAAGTGAAAGCCACACTCCGAATGGCGATATCATTTATCACAAAAAAGAAAAAAAAAGATATAAGGTACCAAAAAGAATACAAGACATGGAGGGATCTATATCCAGTTATATTACATTAAATTAACATAGTTATTATTCGTAGATATTTTAAAAACATTTCAACTCTAACATTTAATGCATGCAATTTATATTCGACACAACTCTCCCGATATGCAAATAAATAAAATAATCTGACAATCTGACGATGTTTGTTTCGACACTTAAACGTTGAACATGATGTAAGTAGTAAAAGTGACTAAAGATAAATCAACTTCGGAAGAATCACAACAGATTACACTTATACCACTGAAGAGAGAAGGAAATACAGAACGTAACAATATAAGAAAAGATACATTTTGATTTTTTTGCCAAATCTAAAGCTACTAACAAGTATCATTTGAAAGCGGTACATGTTGAAAATGGTAATAGTTGAAACCGGAATTAACAACGATGCCAATTCAATGATATTGAAATAAACCAGAAAACTTTAACCTTTCAAACACCAGTGTGGACCAAAGAAATTAAGTGTTTTTAAGATTTGCCCAATTTACTACCCATTTTTGTCTTAAAACCCATATTTTAAAATTGCGCACATTTTAATCCAAGAATGCCCATAGATTTTCAATTGGATTCATATCAGGTATCTGTGTCAATGGTCCCTTCAAGTGAGGAGAGTTCAAAATAAGAAACGATTTCACCAATCCTGACTGATATTTTGTAAGCCGAGATTTTCAGCACTTTGAAGTAAATTTTGTTGTGAAACTTTATTTTAAACATATACTTTATCCATAATTCCTAGATAAATATTAAATTCTCTTGCGCTGACGCAGACATGCAAGCCCAAATCGTCAAACTCCATCCTTCAAGCAAAAAGCTCGTATTCCAGCTCGTTATTTGGATTCCGCCGGACTCTTCGAAATATGCCCCATTACAATATCAAATCGACTTTACTAATTTTTCTGACCATTGAACCATTCTTACTAACTTTCTCGGCTATTGAAATTATGGTGGCGGAGCACGCGACGAGTATCTTTGGCAATACAAGACTTTCCTATCTTTTCCTGAATATAACCAGTTTTGGAGTGCATTACTTTGGATTTACCTTGGTATTCCAGACAATGAATTGGTCGTCAGTTGCGTTAAAAATCTTATTCGGCGCAATTCTGACCTTATTTACTTCGTCGTCGTTATGCACAAACCTCTCTATGATGTGCTGTCCAACCCAATTCATTTTTTACACCAGTTTATGTTCTTCAATGGGCATGGTTGTTCGACGCTCCATCTTTTTGTTGTCATGTGTTGATCATATTATGAATTTTTCTAATAACTTGATTAATCATGTTAGTCATTATACAATCTCTATATGATCTCTATTCTTATACATATAAAGTAACTATATCAAATAAGCTGTGTCCTGTATTTTTTCTGGTAAACTACTATCCTCATTGTACACATATATCTGTTTATTTATTTTGCACATTATGACTCTCTTTGCACACTTGAACCGTTATTCTTCTCTCGTTCACACGACGTGTCTATATAAATTGTCTGATCTTCATTTTTCTACTACAGTGTGGACTCTATTTGTGCATCTTTTGATTTCTAGATTAGGGATATGCTGTAGGCGTCATATTTTGTTCACTCATCGTAGAAAGTCCATTTTGACTGTTCTAACTCTTTTCTTGTTCTGGTCACTAACTACCAACACTTTGCCTCGTATGTCAATATAGGCTCCACGATTGTGAACACAAAATGGCTTAATCTGAGTAATATCTCAAAGGTATGCAACATGCAAGAGTAATGAAAATCGTAAATATTTTAATAATCACATTTAGTAGTTATGTGTGACATTTCTACTTGTAATAATTGACAATACCTGTATTTTTGATTTTCTTGAGGGAACAGATGATGATTTCGACGATAAAAGCGAGTTAGAAGAGAATGTGTCTCAATCATTACATTCTAGCTCCACTTCCTCCCACAACAGAAAAAATACATCTCTACCAGAAACTTGTAATAATAATAATTGTTCAGTACCTACACAAAGAGTTACAACAACTTCCAAAGCTAAAAAGAGCACTCTAAAAGTAGCAACCTCAGTGTCCGGAATCTGTCTTGATTTTAGCTGTTGCTTGTTGGTATCAATTTCTCACTGCCTTTATTATGTCACATTCACTTGCTTTGTAGTAAGCCATCGAAAGTGTGCTTTTTTTAACTCTGTAAACACTAGGTGGGTTTCTTGGGTAGACGTTATTTTTTTTTATTAACTGGGAACTCAAAAAGATTGTTGATCTTCCAGTCCGAAACCCTTCCTGCTCCTCTGTTTCCATATCTCTATACTCTAAGTGTATTTTGTTGGTGAGGATTTTGCCATATACTTTATATAACGTACCCGCCACTGCTATACCTCTGTAATTGTCGCAGTTTTTTCTGTTTACCTTTGTTTGTATGGTAGATATAAATATTTTTTCTATTTTTCTGGAATTGGTTTACCATTAAGACAATTCTGGGATAATATTCAAGTTGTTGGTATGGTTTTCTTCTTCCACATTTTATAAGCTCTGCTAGGATATGGGTCCATACTTTCGTTACGACCTTCTTCCTTCTCTTCTTCGGTCAGGAAGTTCAGTCTATCTTCTGTTAACTGTTTAAAGTAGTCACTCCACTTTTGGAGCGGTATCTCCGATCTTGCTCTGTCTTACGGATTTCGAGATTCTCCAGCTTTCAATACTTTTATGTCCACTTATACTATATGTGTGCTTATACCTATATTGGGTGCTCTCATCAATTAAGCTGTTCATATTTAATATGTTAGGCCAGTTTCTGTATTAGAGTATACTAGCTTCTCGAAATGTTGTATTTAAACTTATAATACAATTTTACATAGTTACTATTACGATTATAATGTTTCTGTACCACATTATGTTAAATTCTGATGGACATAATTTAGAAACACAGTGTTTAATAAAAATTTATTCTCTGTTTAAGTTCCCATTAGCTGTTCTCTTTTCCTTATTCGTTCGTTTCTTCCGTTTCTTTGACCATTTCTTCATCATCTTCACTAGTTTCTTTTTCTTCGCCGGCGATTTCATCATTTTGTTCGCTCTATATATGGATGCTGTATCGTCATTTTCAATGGAAAGTACTTGAAACATCTATTTTCTTTTTCTGTGGTACACGACATTTCATCGAATGATGTTTAATCTCAGTAAACTTCTTGGTATAAAAATTCTTAACATAACGTTTTAAAACATGTCCATATATCAATAAGCGATTTAGTTAACTTAAAATATATTACACAAATTTACTCATAAAACAAATTAATGTGTTATCTTGAAACCTTGTTAATTTACTTCTGAACACATTAATTATTTCTACTTTTTAATTTATCCAGAAGCTAAGACTCCATCAAGCAGTCACTCATCTTTAAAAATATCCCCAGGAGAAATGACCGTTTTAAAAATAATTAAACTGGTTGAAATTCTTAGTAATTTATCTCATTTTCAAGACTATTTTTATCGACACACTAAAGGAGAAGTCTTAAAAAAATTAATCAAAAATAATGTTGTTTTTTAGTACTTCTTCGGCTTATATCTCAGTGACCATTTTTAATGGTAACATATACGGAGGAGCATTTTTTATTCTTATTGAACTAGATATCGATCTATCAAGAATGAAAACTAAGCCGTTAGTGTCCCAACTCGAACCGTTTGATTGTCAAGTTACACAACACGCATTCTCCTACTAATGAGCGGAATCAAGATCAAGGATGGTTCCTTTTTCCTTCGGGCAGCAAAGAGATAAATCTCTTTCGCAAGAATAAATTTAAAAGTGCGTCTTATAAATATAAATCAGTTTGCGGTTAGTTTTTTTTTGAATTTGAAAGAACCCAAAAGACAAAATTATTACACGTACACCAATTTATTAAAGAAAATGAAAGGAAGCGCCAATTTAAAACCTGTGAAATACAATATCGGCCTTCGTTTCTCGAAATCGCCGCAGTAAATATTAATAAGTTACAGGCGCCGTCGATGTTCGGCGTGTTTATACGTTCATTAAAAAATAATTTCTCGTCCAAGAGGCGCGCGTTCACCAAAGTTATTGGACACGGTCCAGAAGGTGATACTGCGGTACACACGATTTCGATCGAAAGAGATCGTATGTTTCGTTTTCCACTTACGGGGTCAATTATTTGTGAAACCATTTATTTAAACACGCATAATATTTATCGCAGACGACAAGTTAAAATTTATTAAATTGAAAATGAATTGATTACATGAAAAAACAAATTATCCACAATGGATTTTTTTTTGGTATAAATCAATTTTCGTTAAGTTAACTCATCCTTTAACCAATTTGCCGAACAATGAAGCTCGTGACAGATGGTTATCAACGTGTTTGTGCACACTACGTGATCGATTACTTTCTCATTCTTGCCAGCACCAGCATCCAAAAGATTTTTAGATTGTAACTTGAGATCGGTCCCACGTGTACCATTGTATAGACTTCTTAAAACACGTTTCGAAACGTGCCAATTACAACTTGTCAACGCACCGCCAAAATCACAACTATTGTATGCAGATAAGGCACCTAATTGTTGATTTGGCATTTTCTTTTATTACTCACCACCTTATTTTAAACGCTTTCTGTAACTAATTGGTTTAACACCAATTGGTTTCGAAATCCAACTCATTCATCAAATGTTTAATTATTTTTTCTTTTTATAGGAACTTTTAGAACATCTTTTCAAACTTTTTGATCAAAATAGAGACCAAAAATTGATACAAGAAGAATGGATCGAGTTTCTAAAGGCTAGATTGACGTAAATTCCTACAATAAAATATCTTTTTATTACAAAACAATTTTATTTTTAGAAAAGAAATAGATTTCGTCGAACAAATAGAAAGTGTGGCTTACTGTATTTGTAGAGATGCCCCGATTGGTTTAGAACAGTTTTACACAATTTTTAACGCTAAAGGAGTAAGTATAAAAAATTTTAAACAAAAATAAATGATTTCCGTTCCTTTTTTTTAGATTGTTGATAAAATATATAAAATAATTGATAAAGATAACGTCGGTTGGATTTCTTCTGAGCAAATCATGGATTTCTTGGCGAGCGTAACCAATTCAAGGTAACAATAAAAATAAATTAACGGTTTTATTGTCCCCAATTATCTTTCGCGGTATCCTTTCAGACCAAGAACCGGTTTTGATAAAGGTAGCCTGGAACAGTTAGAAAAGGTTTTCAAGGATACCGTGGGCGATGAAAAAGAAATCAGAAGGGAGGATTTCAAAAAAATCGTCACCTCAAAAAACGTACAAAAACACATCAACACCCCACAACAAAATAACTTTATTTCTTAACTTTTTAGCCATTCTTTACTGAAAGAGTTTTTCAGATTTTCGATCGAGATAATTCCGGTTCAATATCTCTACAAGAATTTTTAGATGCCGTGCATCAATTTGCCGGGAAATCTCCGGAAGATAAAATAAAATTTTTATTTAAAGTTTACGATTTAGATGGAGACGGGCTCATTCAACATAAAGAGTTGCACCACGTCATGAAAGCTTGTATGGAAGAAAACGGGATGCAATTTAGCGAGGAACAAATTGATGATTTAACTTGTGCTATGTTTGAAGATGCGGATCCTCATGGGAGAGGAGCGATTACTTATGAAAATTTAAAAAATCAATTGGAAAAACACGATGGATTATTAGAAAATCTATCAATAAGGTTTGCAGAAAAAAATTTTGATTCAATATTTAATTTTTCAACAAAATACTAAAAATTTCTAAACATTCCAAGATCTTCTTCGGAAAGTCCACTCATCATTGTATGTACTTTCAAATTGATTCTTGTTACGCAGTCTGATTTATTGGTTCTTGGTATTTCTTAGGCTGATACATAATCCAAAATAGCCACATCAGTCAAAGTCTTCATCAAGCAAAAAGTCATGTTTTTCATGAAGAGAAAAATTACGCTATCTCTCATCTATTGATACAAATCTCGCTTTTGCTGTGCAACAATTTTATCCAAATACTTTTACGTTGTCGTGTTCACCCATATCATTAGCATTATTTGTACTTTGATATTCTACAATTCAATTCTACAGGTGCAGTAGCTAAGAAAAATAATCTACTTGAGCTGGATTTTCTCATTTTAGATATAAGAACATGTTTCCCTGGAGTTATCCACCACAGAATCGATGTTTGGTAAGGAATCGCTTGTAAAGGGAAACCTTCGCATCGAATTTCGTTGCCTATGTTTATGCCTGAAACTGCTTTTATAACGGATTTTGCAATTTTGTGTTTCTTTGTATTTGCTGTATACCTACATACCGATACTATTTTTGCCAAAATGCCTCCTCGAACTGCCTGTATACAGATATCGAGGTACCTCTGCCACCCGGCTTCTTAGCACAACCAGCATTTAAAAGAACACCTATTTGAAAAAATCCCATTAAATCTGTATTGAAAAGCATTTTTCCTTTGTCCTCAACTCAATAATTCCCCGTTACTCGGAATTCGATGATTCTTTCTATACTAAATCTCTAGCAAAATGATCTAAAATACTAATAAACTTTATGACTTATAGCCTCCAACAGACTTCTTTTGTGACATATCATTTTACATTACGATTAGGAACTTCAGTGACCCCATAATATTGGAAAGGTTAAAGTCTTTAACAAGAGCTTCTTGCATACAGGTATAAATACCTAAGTGACAGTCAACACTTCAGATTCTGTAATATTCTGGTGAAATTATCGAAGCTGATGAATTCGTAGTTTTACAAGTTGCTAATGGTAACAAAAGTTGTGTCAAATTTTATTCTTAACAATATTACTCTCTTTTACTATTGCTCTCATCTGCGTAAATATCGAGAAAAATACAAAAATGTGAAAATTTGATGAATTTGTAGTTTTGCAAGTTTGCTAATGGTATCATTCTGGATTCGAAATGTGAAACTAAGTCTACCCTGCTTGAAGTTTAAGGTAGAGATAATCATGGCCGACTTCGAAGACGTCGGCAGTTCCAAGTATTATTCATGATATAAGAAATAATCTCAACCCAACCCAACCCAACTTATCCAAGTGCACTCTGCTTGAAGTGTTCCAGCTAGGTAGAATTGGTTGGGTTGGGTTGACTTGGGTTGGGTTGAAATTATGACTTATATCACGAACAGTACCACTTGGGGCGGCCGACGTCTTCGAAGTCGGCCGAGATTATTTCTACCATAAACTTCAAGCAGGCAAAGAAGTCAGCCGCTTCAAGTATTATTCATGATATAAGAAATAATCTCAACCCAACCCAACCCAACCCAACTTATCCAAGTGCACTCTGCTTGAAGTGTTCCAGCTGGGTAGAATTGGTTGGGTTGACTTGGGTTGGGTTGAAATTATTACTTATATCACGAAGAGTACCACTTGGGGCGGCCGACGTCTTCGAAGTCGGCCGAGATTATTTCTACCATAAACTTCAAGCAGGCAAAGACGTCAGCCGCTTCAAGTATTGGTCGTGATATAAGAAATAATCACAACCCAATTCAACCCAACCCATGAAATTTACACTGTTTGAAGTTTAATGGTAGACATAATCTTGGCCGACTTCGAAGACTTCGGTCGCCTCAAGTATCACGATCAATATTTAGGACATCCAACATTTTCGAGATATAAGAAATTATCTCCCAAAGTACCTCGGACAATATTTCGGGCGGCCAAGGTCTTCAAAGTAGGCCGAGATTATTTCTACCATAAAGTTCAAGCAGGGTAGACTTCGTTGTCTTGGGTTGGGTTGGTTTGGCTTGGGTTGGGTTGAAATTATTAGTTATATCATGAACAATACTTAAGGCCGTGACCATAGCTTTAAGTTCCAGATCTATTTGCTAATATTGTCGATTTTTAATCGGCGATAACAGCTTCTCTTAGCTATTTCGTTAAACAGTCAATAATTTACATAGAACTATTAGAACTATTAAGAATAGTAGAACTATTAGAACTATTAAGACCACTGATGCGCCCGTGTATTGCTGTATTACGTGATAATGCTTACTTGTTAAAATTGTTTGTTCACATTGGAGATCGTTGCCAAATCGACTCCACCATCTTCGCAGATGTCAATTCTTAACTTCCTGTCTTGTATCCTATAACGTTATTTCAGTTCCGTTTTTCAATCATCTACAATTCTAGGAGCTGATTCTAGCAGAAAAATCTGGCTTGGAATGTATATCGTTCTCTGAATTAAAACCTTTATGATCAAGTTTTATTCTATTACAACATAATAGTTAATAATAATTTTTATCTTTGTTGATGCGAAAAATTGTATGATATTATAAAATCATTTATAATCTAAATTAAATCCAAATTATCATTTTTCTTTTAGTATAGATAGATGGTTGGTACCACCAAAACCAAAACCACCAGCAACTTTATCGGAAAGATGTCGAAATTGCGTACCTTACCAATTGACGAAACCTTACTTTAAAAATAACTACGTTTATATTATATTTTTAGGTTGTTATATATTTATTAACGTATCTTTGTTTATAAGTAGGGTAGTTGAGTATAGTTTAATGAACGCTCACATTTGTATTATTATTGCAAGAGCTTGCGGTACGTTTTAAATTATTTTAAACCACAAAAAGAAATCTTTATAATAAATTATTTTCATTTTTAGGACAATGTTTAAATTTTAATTGTATGTTTGTTCTCGTACTTATGTTAAGACATTGCATAACTTTCTTGAGGACAAGAGGTTTTGGTGAAATTTTACCTTTAGACAATCACATTTACTTTCACAAATTAACTGGGACCTTAATTTTTGTTTATAGCGTAATTCATACTGTAATGCATTTTTGGTTCTTACGTAAGTGTTTATAATAAATTATTATTGCATATAAATATATTAATACAAGATTAATTTTTGTTTCAGCAACCGGAGTTGAAATTACAAATGAATTATTAATCAAAAGTAATTGTAACCATACAGAGTATGATACAATTGATAATTGTGTACGTAATTATACGATGGGAAGTTTTTTTATAAGTAAATTTGGATTGGTCGATGGATGTGCTTACGTAACCGGAGTTATTTTGATGTTAATTTTGTGTGTTATGTTTATTTGTTCGCAACCCTTCGTTAGAAAACGAGGATCGTTTGAAGTTTTTTACTGGACCCACATTTTATATATCCCGTTTTGGATTTTATTAATTTTACATTGTCCAAATTTCTGGAAGTGGTTTATCATCCCCGGAATTTTATATCTCATCGAAAGAGCATATCGGTTCCAAATCATGAAAAGCGAAAGGGGGAAAACTTATATTAGTTCGGGAATAGTCTTAGCATCTCAAGTCATCCATTTAGTTATCAAAAGACCTTTACATTTCGATTATCATCCGGGCGATTTCGTTTTTGTTAATATTCCCACTATTGCTAAATACGAATGGCATCCTTTCACAATCAGTAGTGCACCGGAACAAGAAGGTAACATTCAATATTTAACAATTTTAAAATTAATAATTTTTTTTCAAGATTATATTTGGTTACACATAAGAGTTTTGGGTCAATGGACGTCAAAGCTGTATCAATATTTTCAAAAAGAACAAGATAAACTTCATAACGGTGAGATGATTATAACGGAAGAGAAAAAACCATGCCTAAGTAGAGTCGAAAAAGAACATCAAAGTCCGATTAAAAAGATTCAAGCAACGATTTCGAGAACATTTTCAAATAAAGAACCAAATAGACCGGTTCAATTGGTTGGATTTAGTCACGATGGGTTCCAATTAGATCCGAAAAAGAAAAACTCAATCTCGGAAAGTGACCTACACTCAAAAGCATCTTGCAGTAAAGCCGATTTAAATTATTCTTCATCGAAAATAAGTCCGGATCAAAAATTTTCTAGAATCTTCGGAAATAAAGTTTTAGAAAAATCTCTTTCGATGCCTGATATGCAAACAAAGGCTAAGAAAAAGGAACGACTTTTATTGTAAGTATTTCAAAACATTTTCAAAATAAAAAATTTCCTTTTTCCAGCTTAAAAGAATACATGCGTTCTGAATCGGAAAAAAGCTTTGATGAATGTCAAATGAAAAAAGCTCGATTAAGAACGTTAGGTTTGGCTTACACGACCTTGCAAAATAAATCGTTGGCTCAAAGTTTCCGTTATATGCGTAACAAACCGACGATAATCGCTTTTAAAACTCCGAGTTTGGAACATTGTGAAGAAAGGGATTCTTCATCCTCATTGATAATTTCGAAATGTCCTGAAAAAACTATGGAAGAAGGAAAAAGTCATGGAAACGAACAGGGTTGTTTAAAACCAATTGATTACCCTATTGGAAAACCACTTGAGGTAAAAATGTATTACTAATTTTATACATTTTATTTAAATTTGAATCAAATATGAGTTTTGATGATTATTCGCGAAATTTGACGATTATTTTTATAAAACTTAATATGGATATTTTCGATTTAAGGTGCACAACAGCGAGTTTTCATATAATTTTAATTTTAAAGGGAAAAATAGCATCAAATAAAAAAAATTCTCAAATATTGAAGCCTTCGTACTGAAGTTATAAGTATAGATTTCTAAAACATTTTCCAATAGAGCCAAAAAAACGATACATAACTTTTAATTTTATACTGCCTTTTATAGTTTTGCTCTGAGATGCCTAAATATTGAGAAAAATTCGAATAGATGATGAAATTGTAGTATTACATCTTATTGTTGGTAGAGCACGGGATTCGGAATGTTTTAGAAAAAAAGTTTTAGTATAAAAGTTGTAGCAAACTTTATTCTGAACAATATTGCTCTTTTACACTTTTGCTATCAAATGCATAAATATCTAGAAAAATTCAATATTTGAATATTAGAAGAAATCTTGGAATTTCATTTTGTTGTTGGTAGAGGACTTGATTCGGAACGTTTTAGAAAAAAAGTTTTAGTATAAAAGTTGTAGCAAACTTCATTTTGAACAATATTGCTCTGTTACACTTTTGCTCTCTAATGCATAAATATCGAGGAAAATTCGAACAGACGATGAAATCGCAATTTTTCGTCTTGTTGTTGGTAGAGCACAGGATTCGGAACGTTTTACGAAAAAACTTTTAGTATAAAAGTTGTAGCAAACTTTATTCTGAACAATATTGCTCTTTTACACTTTTGCTCTCAAATGCACAAATATCGAGGTAAATTCGAAAAGGTAAAAATTAGAAGAAATCTTGGAATATCATGTAGTTCTTGGTAGAGGACGTGATTCGGAACGTTTTAGAAAAAAAGTTTTAGTATAAAAGTTGTAGCAAACTTCATTTTGAACAATATTGCTCTGTTACACTTTTGCTCTCTAATGCATAAATATCGAGAAAAATTCGAACAGACGATGAAATCGCAATTTTTCGTCTTGTTGTTGGTAGAGCACAGGATTCGGAACGTTTTACGAAAAAACTTTTACTATAAAAGTTGTAGCAAACTTTATTCTGAACAATATTGCTCTTTTACACTTTTGCTCTCACGATCAGATACATAGATATCGCGAAAGTTTCGAAAAGGTAAAAATTAGAAGAAATTTTGGATTTTCATTTTGTTGTTGGTAGAGGACGGGATTCAGAGCGTTTTAGGAAAAAACTTTTGGTATAAAAGTTGTAAGAAACTTTATTCTGAACAATATTGCTCTTTTACACTTTTGCTCTCAAATGCATAAATATCTAGAAAAATTCAAAATTTGAATATTAGAAAAATCTTGGAATTTCATTTTGTTGTTGGTAGAGGACGTGATTCGGAACGTTTTAGAAAAAAAGTTTTAGTATAAAAGTTGTAGCAAACTTTGTTCTGAACAATATTGCTGTTTTACTGTTTTGCTCTCAAAACGCATAAATATCGAGAGAAATTCAAAAGTTTACTATTAGAAGAAATGTTGGAATTTCATTTTGTTGTTGACGTGATTCGGAACGTTTTAGAAAAATAGTTTTAGTATAAAAGTTGTAGCAAACTTTCTTCTGAACAATATTGCTCTTTTACACTTTTGCTCTCAAGTGCATAAATAACGAGAAAAATTCGAAAGTTGAATATTAGAAGAAATCTTGAAATTTCATTTTGTTGTTGACGTTATTCGGAACGTTTTAGAAAAATAGTTTTAGTATAAAAGTTGTAGCAACCTTTATTCTGAACAATATTGCTCTTTTACACTTTTGCTATCAAATGCATAAATATCTAGAAAAATTCAATATTTGAATATTAGAAGAAATCTTGGAATTTCATTTTGTTGTTGGTAGAGGACTTGATTCGGAACGTTTTAGAAAAAAAGTTTTAGTATAAAAGTTGTAGCAAACTTTGTTCTGAACAATATTGCTGTTTCACTGTTTTGCTCTCAAAACGCATAAATATCGAGAGAAATTCAAAAGTTGAATATTAGAAGAAATCTTGGAATTTCATTTTGTTGTTGACGTGATTCGGAACGTTTTAGAAAAATAGTTTTAGTATAAAAGTTGTAGCAAACTTTGTTCTGAACAATATTGCTGTTTCACTGTTTTGCTCTCAAAACGCATAAATATCGAGAGAAATTCAAAAGTTGAATATTAGAAGAAATCTTGGAATTTCATTTTGTTGTTGACGTGATTCGGAACGTTTTAGAAAAATAGTTTTAGTATAAAAGTTGTAGCAAACTTTGTTTTGAACAATATTGCTGTTTTACACTTTTGCTCTCATGTGCATAAATAACGAGAAAAATTCGAAAGTTGAATATTAGAAGAAATCTTGGAATTTCATTTTGTTGTTGACGTTATTCGGAACGTTTTAGAAAAATAGTTTTAGTATAAAAGTTGTAGCAACCTTTATTCTGAACAATATTGCTCTTTTACACTTTTGCTATCAAATGCATAAATATCTAGAAAAATTCAAAATTTCAATATTAGAAGAAATCTTGGAATTTCATTTTGTTGTTGACGTGATTCGGAACGTTTTAGAAAAATAGTTTTAGTATAAAAGTTGTAGCAAACTTTGTTCTGAATATTAGAAGAAGTTGAATTAAGCTAATAAAAGTCAAATTTCGACGATTATAATCAAACTATACAGAATTTTATAATACTAACTAATATTACAATTAATTAGAAATGTTAATTAAATAATTATTAAAATTATTAGCCAATTAGTGAAAGACCAAGTCCAAATGAGAGCAGCGAAGACCTCTTGTGTTTGGAGTTCATCAAAAATGAATTACCGTTGGGAAACGGAACAGAGGTGACACCATCAACGTTTTTGCATGAGGATCATGAGCATGATGACTTTTCGTTCTTTTCGTCGTCTTAAATGTGTTTTTAAAACCACATTTTCGTTTCATGTCGTTTTGATCATTTCTATTTTTTTTAAGACACCAAAATCATGTGCCATTAAAAAAAACATTATTTTTATTTATGCACGATTTATTATAACATTATAATATTAAGAAACTATAATATAATTTCTTGTAGATTTTATTAGATGGTCCATACGGAGCTCCATCCAGTCATATATTCAGAGCTCAACACGCTGTGCTTATAGCAACTGGCATCGGAGTTACACCATCAGCTTCGATTTTAAGATCAATTATGATTCGATATTTAAAAGCGAGACACAAATGTCCTAAATGCGAATATTGTTGGTCTAGTGAGATACCACAAAGTGTTATGAATCTTAAGAAAGTAATGCATCTTTACCTGATTTAATATTTGAATTAATTTAAGGTCTTGTTTTAGGTAGATTTCTTTTGGATTAATAGAACACAAAAAGCTTTCGAGTGGTTCGTAAATTTATTATCCGAACTTGAAATTGGACAAGCCGAACTTGGCGAAGCTATGGAAAGATTTTTGGAAATGCATATGTACATTACGAGTGCTTTGCAGAAAAATGATATGAAAGCCGTTGGGTTGCAGTTAGCTTTAGATCTTTTACACGAAAAAGTAAAACAATTTCGAATGATTATAAATAAGGTTTTCTCAAATGTTTTTATTTCTTAATTTAGGAAAAACGTGATTTAATAACAGGTTTGAAAACGAGAACGAACGCTGGTCGTCCGAATTGGGATAAAATCTTCAACCAACTTTCAACCCAAAAAAAGGGGAAAGTAACAGTATTTTATTGTGGAAAACCAAATTTAGCGAGAATTTTAAGGATGAAGTGTGATGAGTACGGTTTTAATTTTAGAAAAGAGGTATTTTAACTTAATATTATAAAAAAGTAATAAGCATTGTACATTTGCATTTTTGCTTCGTAGTTTTTTGTATTTATTGTAAATATTTTTCGGTCGATGTGGGTTTCGCTCGCTTTTTGTAAATTTAATCTTTTGTAAAATAATTTCTCAAAAAATAAAAAAAAACAATATATTAGATCAATTAATTTATTTAACAAGTATTCTCAACAAAATCTTTTAACCAATTTTAATAATCAAACGAGGCGTATTGATTAATCCAACCTAAATAAGAACTAACTCTTGTATATACAGAAGGAAATCCAGCACTGCATGTGTTACTACCAAACGAAACTATCCCAATTTGTTTATTTCCATAAATTAAAGGCGAGCCACTATCTCCATGACATGATCCAACGTTTAAATAACCATTTGTACAAATATTTGAGGATGTAACAGAAGGAAAATAGAATTTACAATTTGAATTTGGTAAAACTTGAGTGTTTAAATATCGCAATCTTGGTACTATTGATCCATTATCTCTCGTTTTGCCCCATCCTATTACGGTAACTTTTAAATTTTCATAAGAATATTTCGTGTCTTCCACAGTTGGTAAATTAATCGGTAAAACAGCTTCGTTGAAATCGATCGGTTTTGCAAGAAGTAAAAGAGCTATATCGTTAGATAACGTCTCGGTGTTATATTGATGATGATAAACATATCTTTTAGCGTATATCCTTTGTTGGGTGTTAACGTTCGAATTAAGATCGGTTGTTCCAACAACAACAAGGAGAGAAAATGTGCTACAAAGAAAATATAACAATCAAATCATTAAAATAGAATGAATAATTACTTCAAAACGCAATGTGCAGCTGTTAAAATATAATTTGTTGAAATAATCGATCCTCCACAAAAACTTGTTGTCCCGTCCTTAAAAGTTAGGTATAAAGCTGATTGAAATGGGAATAAATTACGAGAAGCTTCAAGTCCTCCTATAACTTTTAAATCTTTTCCTTTGAAATCAGAGTCGATTTCATTCGATTTTGAAAAATCAATCTAAAAATTAATGTTTTTAAGTTAAATTAGCAATATAAATTAAAGTACCTCGAAAGGATCAGGTAAAGAATCCGTTTTTAAATCAACAACAATCGCGGATACATTTTCTTCTGACCAAATTTGACCAATCTAAATTAAAAAAAATTATAAATAAATTTTGTAATCAACAAAATAACAAAAATTACCTTAATAAGAAGACAAATCAAGTATAATAAAAACATTTTTCGTTTTAATTATTTCGTTTTGGAGGATTTGGGGGAAACACAAGTCTTTTTGAATGTGAAGATTATTAGACACTGAATAGGTACATGTTAAAAAGTTTAATTTATAGCCGAAAAATCGGTGATAATAATGCAAATCTAGGCGATAATGCATGTAGATATTTTTTTATAATAGTCCATAACGAGCTTCGTTAACTTAACGATGCTTTTATGACAATCAATAAGTAAATACACGCTTCCTGTAAACAATGGTAAAAAAATCTAAATACATAAAATATGATTACATTTTTACGGGTGGTTCATTCATATTCAAAATATTAATTATAAATTGTTGCAAGTTACAGGTCATAATAAAATTATTATTTTGAATCTATATCGATAAAATCGTTTAAAATTAATTCAAATATGAGATATTGAGTGATTCTTTCCAATCAAGGCGGAATAGTTGAGTTTAAGAAATAGTGTTTAGACCATTTAAAGCATCTTCTTCTAAAGATCTTGAGAAGTTAGGAAATGCCTTATGGTCTTAACTTCGATGAAAAGGAAACTCCTTGTGATAGGAAGCGATTTTGTCACTTTTATGGTTTTATTTCTGATTTCACCGTCCATGAAAGCGCTACTGTTAAAATATGCTGTATCTTTAATTAGAGATGGTGAAAATCTCTCGGAATGACCCCCATAATCCTCTTCCACTCGTATGATATGACTACGGAATTTAATAATCGGCTGCGACTTTAATATTAAGTCCATTATGATTGTAGAACTCATTTGTGGGAGGAATGTGATGATTAAGATGCAGATATTGATTTAAATAGATGAAAAGTTCTTGATTTTTGTGCTGGTGTACAAAGTCTACCAGGAAGTAACAACCAAGAATGATGTTTTACACTGCTCAGAAGTAGATGAAAGTAACCTGTGTAGCGGATCATGGCAAAAATGGTGTAAACGACTAACACGACATGATTATTTTTCAAAATAACATTACCTATTATCTAATATATATTCTTCTAGTGATGCTACAGCTCGCTCCGAACCTTGACCTCCTTCAGTTTCTTTCCCCATCGATCTCTATCCATAGCCGCTCTCTTCCAGTTCCTGATACCAAGGATATTTCTCCTCCACCTTATCGTGCCTTCTCTTTCTGGATCTTCCCGGTGGTCTTCGTTGGTCTACAATGTGCTAATTAATTATCGTACCCGACGTCATCATTACAAGTATGCAACCAATATAGCGATTTGCGCATTACAATACCAATACTGTGATATTGATTGCATACTTGCAATGATGACGTCGGGTACGATATTTAATTAACACATTTTATTGTAGACTCAAGTACTCTTTTAGGCGTTTTTAGTTGCCTAAGTCGTTTCCTATCGGAAGGCTATGGGTTTTTAACCTATAGCCTAACCACCCAACCCCCCCAACCTGGAGTACCAGAGACACTTCTATATGGGTTACCCTTCCTTAGCCGATTTGTTCCGGTTTTAAGGCGCCGGAAATTCGCCCTCATCCTCCTCCGTTAGTATTGCTCAGGGTGCCCGACGTGGACGTGGAGGTAGGATTTGTTGATGTGTCCTAACCTAGAGATCACCCTAGGTTGTCCTTGATCAACCATTTGCACGCCTCTATCTACATATACAAGCGCTTAACATCTATCTTGCTTCGGAACACGAATGTCTTCCAGTACATCAAAAAAACGTAATTGATAATTTGCAGGGTTTTCTGTTAGGGTTTTAACAAATTTAATTTTTAAAGTTGGTATGCAACCAATATGACTAATAGTAGTTAGTTGTAGTTTGTTTAGATGTCGCAATAATGATTAATTAAAATTTAAATAATCACATATTTTTGCTTTATAATCTACACATAAATCAATGAAAGAGTAAATACAATAAAATCATTTAAATGTAATTACGTTCAATTTTAATAATAAATTTAATTAATGTAAATTGTCGATAAAAAAGGTAACTATCTGTCACAAATCAAAGTTAATTTTCATTGATAACAGTGAAAGTGAGGTTATGTTCAAATTTGTCCGTATGGCAACATTTTCGGAAAACGTGCTTAGTATTCCCGCAAAACTCGTCGAAAATATATGGAACGGGTAAGAACACCTTTAAATATCAACTTGGTATAAAAAATCATTACTTAATTTAAAAGAAAAATTTAAATTGTAATTTAAGATTTAATACGATGGCAAATGATAGTTTAAGCCCTCGAGTTTTAAAAAGAATCGGTACCCACGATGGTATTTTCCATTGCGACGAAGCTCTGGCTTGTTTTATGTTAAAACAACTACCTGAGTATGAAGATGCTGAAATTATACGAACTAGAGATCCAAATGTAAGTTTCTACAAAATGTTTTGGTTATTAAATTAATTTTTTGTATTTCTTAATAAGGTTTTGGGTACTTGTGATATTGTAGTGGATGTTGGTCATATCTATGACCCTAAATTAAAAAGGTTTGATCATCACCAAAGAGATTTTGAACACACATTATCCACAATACATCCAGAAATGATTAAAAATAAAACCATAACGTAAGTTTTTAGCACCTCTAAATATAATTCTTTATTGTTTTATTTTATACAAAAATAAATCATAGTACTTTCTTTATAACATAAATTTACCAATAATCATTCCAAATATTGCGATGATAAAGCTAGTAAATAAATTGCGATATGAACAATTGCTCCAATTTGTTGCTTCCGTTTCAGTGTTGCTATTTGTTGTGTGGTGTTTATCAGCAGGATGTTTTGCACCTTTTGACTCCATTGCATCAGTATCAGCTTCCTGTTCTATTTCTCCATGATCTGTTACTTCAAGTTCAACTTCCATTGTTAACGTTAAATTTTATTTAAAATTAGTTTTAATAATCAATTACATATTTAGTGGCAACATTTTTTTTTAATGAAATTTAATTAATTTGACATTATTTTCATGTCAAATTTTCATTTCAGAACTACCAATTTAAAATGGCATAAAATCACCAATACAAATTTACTTTATTTTATATTTACAGAATGTTTATAGCTGTCTTAAGAGATGCATATATTATGAATCTTAAGTCTCAAACTAACAATATTACAAAACAAGAATAAAATCAAAGTGTGAAAGTAGTTGCCTATCCATGCGTGACGTCACGAAAGGGCCAATGAGCTGTAAACCTGTTCCTAGGATGTAGCAATCTTCTTAGATTCTACCGTCCTTGTATCAAACAACAATTTACGACTTTATTTATTTATTTATTGATGAATACAGAACGGGACAAACCCAATTATACTGTATCTATAATTTAAACAAAACCTAAACCTAAGGTCAAACTTAATCTTAACCTTCGAGCGGGCGCGCTCGATTTTGTAACACGAGCGGGCGCGCTGTGTATAAAATTTATAACACAGGTCCGTATCAATTTTCAAGCGGGCGCGCTCGATTTTATAACAAAAGCGGATGCGTGTTATAAATTTTATGACAACGGGTTCGCATTAATAAGTATTAGGTTATTAAAAAAACACACATTTTACTAGAGTAGAAGTATTTAATATGTATTAAACAACTGTAACATAAAATGAAATCAATGAAATGAATTCATTTTTAAAAATCAAAACATTAACAACTAATAAAAAAACAAATAAAATAATAAGTAAATATTAAAAAACAAATAAATTATTAAAAAACTCACGCATTTATATTTTACATCAAGGTTGTTGCGATTTTGTTAAATATTTTATGTTTTAATTTGAATCCGATTCATTTTTACATTCTAAACAAATTATATCTACCACGGAATGTTTCTTACAAGTGAATGAAAGACATTTGGAACATTTCATTGATGCTGTTGTGCGAATTTTCTGTTTTATACATGAAGGACAATGTCCACGTTTCGCTGAGGGTTGTTCGGTACTATCCTTTTCTACTATGGGTTGGGAGTAATGTCTTAAAAATATTGCTATATCGGCTGGTAGTGTTTTATTGGTTGATCTGTACTGTAACTGAGGTTTCATCAAACTAAATGATAGATTTTTTAAAAAAATTCTGCGAGAGTTTGCCACATTTGCTTGTGAAAACGAATATAAAACGTACGCATTTATACCAGCAATATTTAACAAATTAAAAAAGATCACACATGGCCATCTTTTAGTAATGCGAGTTACCGTGTAAGTGGCACACAATTTATCCACTGTGTCAATTCCACCTTTTGTTGAATTATAATCTATGATTATATCTGGTTTATTTGTGGCTGTATTAATTTTATCATCATCGTGCATAGTGGAAAGTAAAATAACAGCTTTATTTTTGCGTGGAACATAAGATGTCAACATTTTATTTTTTTGAAATCCAAATAACGTCGATGAAACGACGCGAGTTTTATTTGGTAAAAATGCTGATGGGATTTCTCGTTTATTCTTTTTTATTGTTCCAGTCAGTGTTAATTTCTTCTGTAGTAAATAATCTGCTAGAGCTACGCTGGTATAGTAATTGTCAGTAGTAACGTTTCTGTTTGAATCTTCTATTGGTTTTACCAATCGCTTTACAATATCCATCGGTTTGTTAGATACCATATACGGACCATCTGGTTGCTTGCCGCAATAAATTTCTAAGTTGTACGTATAAAAAGTTTTCGCGTCGCAAAGTGCATACATTTTTATCCCATATTTGGCGGGTTTGCTTGGAATATACTGTATCCATGCACATCTACCTCGGAAAGGATGTAACATTTCCTCTATTGTGACGAATTCACCTAACTTGAAACAAGCTTGGCTGTTTTCTAGAAATTTCTCGAAGAAACACCGAATTGCTGCCAATTTTTCAGTTTTATGCCTATCGATTCTTGTAACTTTATCATCAAAGCGGAGAGATCGAGTTAAAAACAACAATCGTTTGTAGCTCATCACTGCTCTAACCATTTGAATACCTGTTCCATCGGTGCTCCAAATTTCTTTTACATTGGCAAAATGTGACTTTTTAATTCCTATTAAGAAAAGTATTCCCAAATAAGCCAATAATTCGTTTATGTTGGTATCTTTGATATCTCTGCTTCGTGTGTAATCACGATTTGATCTCAGAGATTCTATATAAGTATTTGTATGTGCCACAATATTTTCAAGCATTATACTATCGATAATTTTTTGAAATAGTTCTAATTCACTAAGATTTTTTACACCACAAGTAGGACCTGAAACNTATAGCTGTCTTAAGAGATGCATATATTATGAATCTTAAGTCTCAAACTAACAATATTACAAAACAAGAATAAAATCAAAGTGTGAAAGTAGTTGCCTATCCATGCGTGACGTCACGAAAGGGCCAATGAGCTGTAAACCTGTTCCTAGGATGTAGCAATCTTCTTAGATTCTACCATCCTTGTATCAAACAACAATTTACGACTTTATTTATTTATTTATTGATGAATACAGAACGGGACAAACCCAATTATACTGTATCTATAATTTAAACAAAACCTAAACCTAAGGTCAAACTTAATCTTAAAGGAACACGAACATATTAACAAATTAGCGCTTTTATAACAACTCGCTCGACGAGATCAACACAGTATGCTGAAAGAACCTTGCCATTCTTCAGCAGAGGACTGAAAGGCATTGGAACGTACTGTTGGGATAAAAAACATAAAATTAAAACGCAAAAGTCTTGGTGGCACGTGCAAACCAACTCGGTAGTCGTATTCATTGTTAATTATCTTACAGAAACATACTATTTAAATCTGCCGTTTTCTTACTATACCTACTAATATTTGGTGGCATAGGTTGGCAACGCTGTATAAGTCACTCCTGACATTTTATAAAAGTTACGGATTAACAACTAGGTAATCTGCGTTAAAATCGGAGACATGGCGAATGAAACTGATGGACTAAGCCTTGAGCTCAACCGTTCAGCGTAGTGTTTTGAGGGTTCTTATTTTGGGAGACGTAAAGTTGCTCATCCTTAGCTTTAGCATTCCGGCTATATTCTATCCAAGAAGCAGTAGCTGCGAAATCTACAACGTGAAAAATTGCCGTCTTAGCTCACATTACTGCCGACTACTTATCCCATATTTGCCGAGAATCTGAAAGATTCAAACAAGAAAAAAATTGCACTGAAACAATAGAGTACCAGTAACAGGTATTTAAAAGAGTAATACATGAAGTGCAAGAAGAGGACTCAGGTGTAGAGAGCAAAATAAAAATGGATGATTGCAAAATCCTAACTTGGATGGTGGAAAGAAGAAAATGCACAAAGACAACAAGAAATACATAGAAATCCACAAAAGGATTACAAAATCTGCCAAAACTCAAATAATTACAACATAAATATGATCATAATAATTTTTTTCAAACGTTTTTCATTGTAATGTCTTAGCAACCTGAGATTTGTTTTATTTTCATGAAATTATTTATGAGATTTGGATTGTATGTTTTACCGTTTTGAATATGACGGTCTACTAAAGAAGGGCAAGATCTGAAATCAGGTTTAGACAAATAAATAAATAAATTGGTCACCTCAGTATAAATCGTTTTTAAATGGTTGTTTCAGTTAAATAGCTTTTTTCTAGTCAGATACTATCTGTCCAGGCAAATAGTTTTATTCCATTTATTTCAGTCTAAATTCTACTTTGCTAGGCAAATAGCATATGGCTAAAATATTTTCAGGCAAATAGCTCTTTAAACCAACCCAACCCCAAGAATGCTTTATTTTTTGAAGAGGCCTGCACTTCACAGTCACTGTTTTCTGGACAAAGAATATCAAAATGCCAGTGCCAGCCTTCGAAATTTCAGTGCAGTATAAAAAAATAAGATGATGTGCAATAATAGATGCCATTCCAGCAACAATTGTCAAAACAAGTAAATTTTTGTATTGCGTATTTAGGGGCCTAAGTCTTCAAGAAATAAATCATTTTTTTGTATTTTTATTAAACTTAATAATATGAAACTGTTATGCATATATTGCATTGTTGTATCCAAAAAAAATAGTATTTACCTAAAACAAGCTTAGACAGATACTATTTCTCTTGTCCAACAGTATTTGCCTAGACGTTTAATTATAAAACTGTAACGAACTACTGTTTACCTAGGCAGACAGTATCTGACTAGGCAAAATCTATTTACCTGAAATGACCATTTGCCTGCGACATATACTTTATTTAATGATTACATGGTGAAAATGGATAGAAACAATTTCAATAATAAATATGATCGTTTCAACATGCACAAAAGAATAAAAATATAACTCTAACTAAACCAAACATTCTGGAACAGGAAGACCAACCAATGGTAATTCTTATATCAGAGGTGAAATATGAATTAAAGCTGTCAAAGAACGTATCTCAATGTGACGATTTCTAGTCTACGTAGTTGCCACTCACTTGTATATTGTCTCTGAATGTTTTATTGTTGGCACACCTAATAGTCCAATAATCTTGCTACTCAACAAAAAAGTTGTATTTCTGAAACAGTGGTGTTAACAGAATTTTGCATTAATAATTATAATAATAATAAGCAATGAACAATGACAATAAAAATTGCGCGATGGACGCAGTATTTGCACAAAGAACCATGTTTGCAATGAATTCAGCATTGAAGTATCACTCAATACATTGCATTCAATATATTATTCCAGCGAGTTCGAAAACGATTGGCGATTACCAGTGGCAAAAGTGAGCCCCTTTGTATTGATCGTAGAATTCTCCCTTCCAGCTAAAATATGTCGATGATAAGCAGTACTCCACTAGCACTGAAATGTACTTCAGTAAACCTTCCGGATTGAGGTTCTGGCGAAGACCATCCATAGTATCTTTGAGTGGTACTTTGCTAACTGGAGGTTTCACTTCAAAACTACCTTAGGGATGTAACTTCATTGTTTTGATTGATTTCACAAAATGCATACAATCTCTGACTTATGATTTTGTTTTACTTGTAGGAGACAGAATCTTGGCCAAAGGCTTCGCCAACTAGTAAGTAGGAGAATTTATGACACTAACAATAACAACTCTGTTGTTTTGCTGTAATTTCTGTAGATTTCACTAATTCTTTCATTTTTCTTATAATCTTCTCCGTTGGGTTGGGTTGATTTTCTTATAGGTGGTTGGATCCGAAAGGCTCGTCATCTTGTCGTCGTATTCCTTCCTGTCCATACCGCCGTGGCATTCCTTTTGTTTGCTCTAAGACTATGATGTCTATTTTTTCTCTGATCGACCGTGGTTCCGTGTTTGATTTTGGTGGCTTCGCTGATTTAAGTACTCTTGCTACATTTTATCGAATTTCCTCTGCTTTTATCGCAAATATTCTGCAAATAGCTTCCACTTCGCAGATGATTTCTTTTTCGGAACCCTCTTGAAGCAATTGCGTAATTCAAGCCTTTGGCGACCATTTCTCTTCTTTCCTGTAGCGTCATTAAAAATTCCACAATTTAAATAGTAATCTTTACATTTTCCAAGGTGTATTATCTTCTTGTGGTTTCTTCATTTGTTGGTCCAAATCTTACAACTAACTTTCCATATTCTAAGCGTATCATCTGCAATGTTTGGATTAGGTTTGGACACTGTTAATTAATATTTTATCATAAATTTATTTATAGATTGAGTTCAGCCGGATTAATTTATGCACATTATGGTATGGAAATTTTATCCGAAATTTTTAAAAATATCGATTTTGTTGCAACAACGGAATGTTTAAAATGTCTTTATTTGGGTGTCTACGATGGGTTTATTGAGGAAATAGACGCAATAGATAATGGAGTTCCTTTGGTTGATGGCATTACACCTTATAAAATAAGTACTCATTTAAGTGCGCGAGTTAGTAAATTAAATCCCGCATGGAATTCAACATCACAAGAAAAGTCGGATGAACTATTTGTAAAAGCAATGGCCTTAACGGGTAGAGAATTTATTGAAAAAGTGGTTGAGTTAGCTACAATTTGGTGGCCAGGACGGGAAATTGTTAAAACAGCAATTTTAAACCGATTTAATTATCATACTAGTGGAGAAGTTATAAAATTAGAAAGAAGGTGCCCTTGGCAAATGCACTTGTTGGCTTTGGAAAAAGAAATGGGAATCGATGGCGAAATTAAGTTTGTTATTTTCGAGGATGCATCTGGATCGTGGCGAATTCAAGCAATTCCCATTGCACCAGATAGCTTTATTTGCAGGTATTTTACTTATTCCACCCTTTTTAGCCTTAAAATTAATTAATTTCTTTTCTAGGTTATTTTTACATTTAGATTGGAGAGGATTACGAGAAGAACAACTTTCGAAAGTAGCGAATATTGATGGGTGTATTTTTGTTCATTCCAGTGGATTTATAGGTGGGAATAATACGGAAGATGGTGCGTTAAAAATGGGTATTGCTACAATAAAAGCCGGATTCTATCCTATTTAGCAACAAAGACAATTCGAAACAGATCTGAAATAAATAACAAATTAATTTAAGTACCAAATAGACAATATTGTAGCTTTTTTAGGATTGTTTAGTTTTTAATCGAAAGAAAATGAAACGTCTTTACATCTAAGACTTTTATTGAAATTTAGACAAAATTTTTATTATTTTTTTTTTTTTTTGGGTTGACCTAAAATTTTTTAAATTAGCCGAAAAAAATTACCGTACAAAAAAAAAGATTTGAAACTTTCAAAAAGAAGCTTAGATTTAAATTATACCTTAAAATGATTTGATAAAAGTTTTTTAAGACATAAAGATGTTTCAAAAACTTTTAAAAAATCATGTTGTAATATTTCTTTTAATAGACTTAAAAATAAATTCGTTGTTTTCTTTTTTCATTCATTAACTACATGATGACCAAATTATGTTCATAGTGCATTCCACGATTTTACTCATTTTCCTAAATGGCATGTAAACCATTAAAGGAATAGCGATACATTGTAACTCCCTGAAAACTTCTAAAGCCAACAAGAACAATCCTGTTGCGCAAATAATATCCCTTCTATATGTTGATTTAGAAAATTGATTTGACAACCAACTTATAAATCCCCACAAAGACTTTGAATGTCGTTCTTGTGCAGGTCTGGCCGGTTCTGCATTCTCTGATGTATCATCTTGTGTCGGTTCTGCATCCTCAGTTTCTTGTTCTTGTTCTGGCTCTTGTTCTGCATCTGTTGGTTCTTCTTCATCTGCCATACTTGGGATTTTATCTCAAAATTTATTGATTACTTCAAATTTTGATTTTTTATAATAAAAATATCAGTTTAAAATGATTTTGGTAACTAGGTTACAAACATTTTAGAAATAATTTTGTATCGTATTTTTATAAATCTTATCCATTACATCAGGTGGGTAATGCGGAGAAGTTTGAATTGGTAAAATTCCCGCTACCTCGGAAAGTTTGATGATGAGCTTATAACTTTGACAACATCATTGGATCATCTTCCTCAGCCTGTATTCAACCTCTGCTGGACATAGGCCTCTTTCAAATGTCTCTGTTCTTTCCACCTCTTTTGCGATTTTCCCGCACCTCTTCTAGATGGTCGTGGTTTTCAAAATGTTAGTCTTTGTGTCCTTTTTTCTGTTCCCATTCCCACTTCAGCTTGACTCGACTTATAACATCTTTGTGTTCTTCTGCGAATGTTGCTATTTTGAATCTTGTCTCTCAGAGTGACTCTTAGCATTGCTCGTTCCATCGCTTTTTGGGTTACTAAGTAGTTCTGTAATTTTCCTTGTCAAGATTGTTCTCGGTATTTCTTTGTTTTTCAGTATAAAACTGAGTTTTCCAAATGGTGCCCATGGTAGTTGAATCCGTTTGACCAAAATATATGTACTGGCTTACCAGTAGAACCAAAGATAACGAAAATAAAGGATGTAAATGGGAATATAACCAGAGGAAGAAAACGAATTGTAAAAGAAAACCAAACATTCTATGAAAAGCTCTGCCACACCAAAACCGGAAACTGCGACTAGAAAGATTCTAAACGTTAACACAGAGAATATCTTTGTGGAAATTACATTGCAGATTCTCGTGATACAATTGCAGCATTTTCAAAACATTAAAAATATATCCGTAACATATCATACGCTTTTTCTGCGTTAGTAAATAACAGGTTTACAGTTACCATGGTAATAGGATCCGATTGAAGGCACACAAATTATTAACAATTTCTTCTTTATCTTCTCAAAGAAATCAACTGGAAAATTAAAATTGTTTAAAACATATAAACTGACCGAAATGTAATGTAAAATTGCGTGGGTTCGTTTATTATTCCCCATTGTTTCTTTCGTACGATTAAATTTGTTCAATTATCCCAATCAAAACGATCCCACCAAATGAAGCAGTTTTTCGTTCCAATCCAATCATGAAAAACTTACTATGGATTTTATTTGTGATGGATTTGTTTAATTCTTGTAAGTTATAAATTAATTATTTTACTAAACCAAAATTTTATACATTTTTTAAGGTTGGACATTTTTCGATTTGGAATTACACAAAAACTATCCCAATCTTCCAAAAAACTGTGGTAGTTCACAAGCAGATCGAATAATTGGTGGTGAAAAAGCTCGTTTAGGACAATATCCTTGGTTAGCAAGAATTGGTTATTCAATGCCGGGATGCACAAAAGCGGTTTTGTATCGATGCGGCGGTTTTTTAATAAACGAATGGTACGTTGGAACGGCAGCCCATTGCGTTACTGATTTACCAACGATCGTTTGTCCAAAAGATAATCACACTGTTAAATTCAAATTGTAATTGAATTATTTCTGTTTAAAAAAGCAACCCAAATAATTTTTTTAATTACATTTTTGATTATTAAAGAACGAGTATTCAACTTGGAGAACACGTAGTAAGCACACCAATCGATTGTGAAAATGGCGAATGCGCTGAAGAGGTACAAGAATTTCAGCCCGCTGAAATTAATTTTCATTTTATGTATAATAATCCAAAATATGCGAATGATATAGCTTTAATTAAACTTAATAAACCAGCAAATCTTTCACGTAAGACACATACATAAACAACAATTAATTTTGCTATGAACACAATTGTTTTAGCTTGGGTTCAACCGATTTGTTTGCCACAATTAGAGCAATTAAATTCTGATTATATTGGTCAATGGGGAGAAGTGGCCGGTTGGGGAACGTTCGATGTTGATAATCCAAACACAAGCGATGAACTTTTATATGTTAGCGTGCCAATTTTGAGGATGAGATCATGTAAATCTGCTTATAAAAAAGATTTTGAAATGACGGGAATTCGCCAATTGTGCGCGGGCGGTGAAGGCGGTAAAGATTCGTGTGGCGGCGATTCTGGAGGACCGTTAATGCACGTTGAAAGTCACGGCGATAGCCCTCCTAAATATTTTGCAATAGGTGTTGTATCATTCGGAGCTAAGAAGTGTGGAGATTTAAATAAACCGGCTATTTATACAAATATTGCTCATTATATGAATTGGATTTTAGATCATTTGGAACAATAAATTTAAAAAGAAAATGGATCATACTTAATTTTCTTGCATTTTTTATATAAATAAAGTACTAAACATAACACTCGTATATAAAAGTTTGCAAAAGTGTTTCTCCAGTTTCGGTGTTCCAAAATCATCCTCAAGAAATGCGTTAGTAAAACAACCATACACTTTTCAAACAATTACTCGTTCCCTGAGGATGATGTTATAACACTGAAACCTATAAAAATAGAAATATTTGCCTTCTTTTTACAGCTCAATCTGAATCGAACGTTTTGAATTGCTTTGATTCACCTTCATGCCACCGGCAGAGTTCAGAATGACTTAGAGGGCATTAATTTTTTAAAAGTAGGCTGTAGTGTGTTGGCATGGCATATTTCCTTCTTGAAACCGGTTTTTGACACTCTTTTCACAACATTAGTGACATATGTATTCACAAGTACAATGTTCAGAATGCCATAGAATACTCACGAAGGCGTTTAGTCTTGCGGCTGTACGACATTTGATGACACATTTGGTCCAAAGTAGTGGTGGAACGGATATCCGGCAACTATTCGGCCAATTTTTTAAAATCCGGTCGGATACCGGATAGTTATCAAATATCTGGCTTTGGCCGGATATAAAAAATAGAGAAATAAATTTTTGAAATAATCGACAATTTTTCGAATTTTGCAATTTCCACCGATTAAGTTTTAAAAATTCGTACAAAATCCATTTCTTGGAATATGAGTATGAAAATTTCCCAAAACGTTAATAAGAGTGCCCTCTTTCCAATGAACCAACACGTTTTGAAAAATAACTTTTGGTTTTTGAGATAACAATATTTGAAGTTTTAATAAAATTTTCGATATTGCACTTTTCATCGATAACTTTCAAAATTCGCTATAAAATTCATTTCTTGAAGGATCCTTATGGATATATCACCAATTATAAATTAAAGTATCCTCTTTTTAATTCAGTAAGCCGTTTTGAAAAATCGCTTTTAGTTTTTGAGAAATAAATTTTTGAAATAATCGATAATTTCTTCGAATTTTGAAATTTCCGCCGATTAAGTTTTAAAAATTCGTATAAAATCCATTTCTTGGAATACGAGTATGAAAATTTCCCAAAGTGTTAATAAGAGTGTCCTCTTTCCAATAAACCAACCCGTTTTGAAAAATAACCTTTAGTTTTTGAGATAATAATATTTGAAGTTTTCAAAAAATTTTCGATGTTGCAATTTTCATCGATAACTTTCAAAATTCGCTATAAAATTCATTTCTTGAAGGATCCTTGTGGATATATCACTAATTATTAATTAAAGTATCTTCTTTTTAATGCAACAAGCTGTTTTGAAAAATCGCTTTTAGTTTTTGAGTAATAAATTTTTAAAATAATTGACTATTTTTTCGAATTTTGCAATTTCCGAGGTTTCTTGGATCGATGACAAGCTTTTCGTGACAAGAGGATAGTAGCCAAACCACTTTTGAACTTTTTGCCTTGTAAGAAGCCACTTTTAGTCCATCAAAACAAATCACGCTTGTTCCTTGGAATTTACCATTTCGGGAAGGATTTCGCATTTGTTCTTTTTTAGAGTATCTATAATGGTGAGTCTGTTGGGGTTCTCTAAGAGTAAGCTTGTTCCTATGGCTCTGCTCTTAGGATTTACCACTTCAGGAGGGATTTCGCGTTTGTTCTTTTGTAGAGTACCTACAAAGGTGAGGTTATAGGGATCCTCTAAGATTAAGGCAGTGACACGGGAGCTACTCAATCCACCGCTATGCCACAGGCGGAGTTAGAGCGATTTGGACATTGACCAGGTTCATGAATGAAACACGATGCTTTGAGTAACAATGCAATATTGATGATCAAATTACACTATGTATCAGAAAAATTGAAGAAAGCACAATCAAATAATAGCCATTATGAAGATACTGGAAAATACACAAAAAATGATATATTGATTTTATATTTAAAAAAATTTCTTTATTTTATTGAATCATAATAAATTAATATACATTTTTTAGGGTCGTAATTTTTGTTTAATCCAATCGACGTATTTACTAACTCTTGTATAAACTCCTGGCCAACCTTCCATACCGCACGGTGTTGGTCCGAAAGAGACAACTCCCAAAACGTAAGTGTTTATAACCGGCCCGTTTGATAAACCACCCATTAGAGGACCTCCACTATCGCCTCTACAAGAATCTTGTCCCTTTGCACCACCAGCACATAATTGTCCTTCTGAGATACTTATTCTAGCCGCTCTATAAATCGGAGAGCATTGTTCGTTTGATTGTACACGAATCTAAAAATATAATAAAAAGTAAGGATTAATCGTATTGAGTGAATTTTTTTTAAGTACCCTTAATTTTAATTTTACATCACTAGCGGATCGATTTTCAGTTTTACCCCAACCAACGACATCTAAAATTTCGTCTTGATAAGAACTTCTGAGATGAGTCTCGATTGTTGGCAAACAAACTGGTCTTACAAAATCTATAACGAACATTTTAATTTTCACGTTATTAATTAATATTATTAATAATAACCTGTGTATGAAACGCGAGACGCTAATCTTAAAAGAGCTATATCATGATATTGGTCTAAACTTTGTGGGTCATAAGATTCATGAGCAATTTGTTGTTCAACTGGGACATCAACTGGTTCTGGGGAACATCTTGTGTGTTTTCCAGTGGTTACACAATCAACGGGCGAACTGGTGTTAAATTCACCTAATCGAACACTTATCCTAAAAATTTTAACAAAACATTAGGAGAATAATAAAATTTTTTATTAACTCACAATTTCCACGTTGATGGTAAATCTTTTCCTTTAACGCAATGAGCGGCCGTTAAAACATATCTATCATTAATTAAAACTCCTCCACAATAAAATCCCGATCCCGATTTCGTTTTATATTCAATGAGAGCCATCCATGGGTACTCTTCTAAATCGGCTATGGAGCCCCCGAGGATTCTATTTTGATTGTCAACTCCACAAGTTGATGTATCGGGTAACAAATCATCGTTTGATTGATCTAAATAAAATGAAAGAAATTTATTGTGCTGTTTTTTTTTTAGTTTGAATTTGTTACAATTTCTTGGATTTGAAGTTGATGTGGGAGGTTGTTGTCTTAAACTGCAACACACTTTTGAAGTTAAACCTTCAAATCCACAACCGGCTTTCTTGAGATATTCGGTATCCTCAACTGAAATTGGACGTTTCACTAAAACGTCTAACACTTCTTGGCATTGTGTTATAACAACGCATTCTCCTAGTTGTTGATTTGGTGTGTAACATTGTTCAGCTAAAAACAAAGAGGTAGTAAATAAAGAAGAGAAATTAAATACACCTATCGATTTCACTTTTGCACGATTTATAAATTGACAAATTTAAAAAAACTGAAAGAAGATGATTTAATTAACATAATTCATGAAACAAACCAACATGATGAAGACAATGAATCAGATGAAGAGCAATCTGAACCAGCTGCGCCAGGAAGATTCATAAGCGTAGGACTTGAATTGGGAAGAAAATTTTGCAACCATTTCATAAAATATGACACAAATGTTGAACGAGCTCTCCGATTCAACGTAAATATTCGCTGAGTTGGCCATACCATAGGAGAATAAGGTTTTGAAGATTTAGCTGAGGCAGATATTGAAGAAATAATAGCTGATGAAGAACTGAATGAAGATGATTTAATTAACATAATTCCGGAAACAAACAAACATGATGAGAACAATGAATGAGATGAAGAGCAATCTGAACTTTAAAATTCGCAATCATTTCATACAATATGACACAAATGTTGATCGAGCTCTCCGATTCCAGCGAAATCTTCGTAAATGCTTCTTCAATATGAAGAAGTCTATCAAGATTTAGCAAAAAAACCTACGCAATTGTTAATTACGGATTTCATGACAGTTTTGTCAACCCGAGATCCTCCCTAATTCGTCACATTCGGCACATTTTAGTATTTTTTTTGGTTTTACCCGATTTTACTTAGCAAAATGCAAGATTTCAATTAACACGGTTTTGTGCAGAACCTATCTTTCGTGTAAATCGGGAGATAAGTGCATAACACGTGATTAACCAGAAGGTTTATGAAACACCGTTTAAAAACCTGTTTTAACTCGATATTTTTCTTTCTGATTAAAATAATGATTCCCCGATGATGGAGTTCTAAAAATACGGATTTCCCAAAGATTATCTGAAATGGTACTGTTTATAAATTAGTTTAAACATACATTTTTGCAAGTTTATGACCTTGGCTCCAGTTCGTATGTATATAATTAATAAAATTATCGAATAATTATGTTTTTTTACAAAAAAAATCTGAAAATTTATTGATCTTTTTTTTAACTACTTCATTTTTTCCTAAGTAGCAGTTATGAATTATTTATTTTTATTATTCTTGTGCTTCAAGGTTGAAGTTATTTTTTACTATCTGTGCATTTTATGTTGTTGATTTTTATTAAGTAAACAATTTTACGAAAAGAAAAAATGGAACAATTTAAATATATAATCCGTTGTCCTCGAAATTAAACAGCTAATCCTATACGTTATACCAAAAAAAAATCCCCTCGCTTCATTTTCTTAGAAATCAAATTATCAATTCACAAGGTAAATTAACAAAGAATATCATGGTCTTCTTTAAATAAATTTAACAAAAAAATATGCAACCGAGATCGCCTTCTGAGAAAAACAATTAAAATTGTAAGTGAATGTAAACGAATCTCAAATAACAGAAAAATAAATAAGAATTTAAACTTTGATCTTATATCTTTACTTACCGTTTGTAAAATAGCTCACTAAATATAAATTTAACACCAAAATCAACGGATTCAACATCGTTATGAAACTGTTTTACGATTTAAAATGAACTTAAACGAAAGTTAACGAATTCGTTTTCATTCCTCTTATATTGCCGTGGAGGAGGATATTCCGGACTGCCTTGGAAACTACAAACTAAAATGATCACGTCGAGTACGACCGCTTTTATTATTTGCTGACCACTACATGCGTCACTCACGACTACCGAAATCGCTTCTTGTGAAAATCGCATTTACAAGAAGTAATTTAATTACACTTATTACGCTCTACTATTACCTATATTGTATTTTTTTACTTAATTATCTAGCGCACTTGGAATTCTTAAAAGCGTTTATTAATTCTTAGTTGTAGGTATTTTTTTCTTAGCTTTATAAATGATGAACAAAACAAGATTACATAAAATATTAAACTCGAAATGAACCCACTAAATAAAACTCATCCTAAAATTTCGCATTAATCATACAATTTTGAAATTGGAAATTTTGCTATTATAATTTTCAAACGGATTTATACCCAGATATCCGTTTATCATTTTGGTTAATTTGATTACAAGATCCTATTCAAATGATTAGCTGTATTGTGTTTAAAACCACAAAAACCACAACAATATTTAATTCAGTTATTTTATAGGATCTACTTGTAATAACATGTTTTATTAATCCGTAAATAGCTAATTTTTAATGATTAAAAAATTGTTAGTAATTTTAAAACATTTTAAATTTGAATTTTTTATTCAACATTTCATAAAAATACAGATTCCTGTAAATTAATATTGAAGAGATAATCGATTTATTAATCAGTGTTATTTTAATTAAAAAAAAACTTTATTTTTACCTATAAATTATGATTCCAATAACAATAAACAACAGTATACTCTTTTTTAAATTTAACTTTTTTATTCAACGTTCCATAAAAATACAGGTTCCTATAAATTAGTAATTAAACCATCATTGACGAAATGGTTCTTAATCAGTATAATTTATCATTTTAAAAATACAATAACATTATTTTTAACTATAAACTGTTTTTTATCCAACATTCAATAAAAATGCAGATCCCTATATACTAATAATGTAACTGTCATTAAATAGATAACCTATTCTTAATCAGTGTCATCTGTCATTTTAAGAATACAAAAACTTTATTTTTATCTATAAACAATGATTCCAATAACAATAAACAACAGTATTGTATTCGAAGTAAATTCAAAAACCTCACTAAACGACATAAAAACAAAAATTTCATCCACCTTCGTAAGTACATCATTACTTCATAACATAACCTCAAACTAATAAAATTTATTTTAATTCTAGAATATAAACTCAAACGATTTTTATCTCGTTCAAAATGGAAAAATTCTCAATAATACCCCGTATAGTACATCGAAAATTGACGTTGTATTTCGACTTGTTGGTGGAAAGGGTGGTTTTGGTTCGATGCTTCGAGCAATTGGGGCTCAAATTGAGAAAACGACGAATCGTGAGGCTTGTAGGGATTTAAGCGGGCGTCGATTGAGGGATATCAACGAAGAAAAGCGGTTAAAGAAATGGATTGAGCAACAAGCTGAACGAGAACAAGAAGCTGCAGATAAAAAACAGAAAAAATTAGAGAGGTTATGCGAAAAACCCAAGTTGAGTGCATTTAAAGATGAGGCATATGATAGAATGCGATCTGAATTACCTGAAATTATTGAGGATTCAATTGCGCAAGGTATGAAGAAGGCTTCAGAATTAAAAGTTGGGTTGAAGCGGAAAAATGATGATAATGGAAAAGGAACAGGGAAAAAGAAGAAACTTTGGTACAAATCTTTTTTTCTTAAATTATTTAAATGTTCTAAATTTTTTGCTTTTTAGGCTTGATGATGATTTGGAGGATTTGGACACATCCAGTGATGATTCAGAATGTGAGGATCAATCAAAATCTAAAGAAATTCGTTTGGGAGAAAGTAATGAGGATGAAGCTTCTTGTTCATCTGAAAAAGAAATTGTCGAGAAGGAGGATGATGTAAATAAATGTGAAGATGATAAAAAGAAAAATGAATGATTTTCTAGTTTACTTTGTAATTTATAAATAATTGATTTCAATAAATATTTTTTTATTACAATAATTACTATTTTAATACAAAAATGTTTGTTAAACTTTAGTTTTTCTTTAATCTCAAACAAAGCTCCTTTTGTTGCAATTAATGATATTCCTCATTAATAGCCATAAACACAATATCTGAGATGTGCTTAAAATCATCTTGTTGGAACATAAATGATATATAAAATTTGTTTTTTAGGAAACTCCAGACGTTTTATACGATTTTTTTATCCCATTTTGAATAATTTCTGCTCTTACCGCCCTTTATGATACTGAATTTAGTTCGTTGGCTATTTTCGACGCACTTGTTATTGAAATTGCGCGCAATTTGTTTAATATTGTGGGCTCATCACGAATTCTTAAAACATTACGCCTGGACGAGGCTGTATTTCTACATCTTTTTTTAAATTAATAATCAAATTTTGAATACGGTCTGGCATTACACCAATTTTATAATCATTTTTCAAACATAAACTGTTAAACTATGGAATTGATAACAATATTTATTTTATAGTATCAACGTTTCTAAGAAATTAATTACTTTTATTTATTTAGAAATTTCAAAAACGTTCAATACAGAAATAAATCTTACAAACCAAATTTTTTATATCTTTTTGTTAACCCTAACAAGTTTTTGACCCCCTTTCAAGTATATCTTCATTCTATTTTTTCGGAAAAGTTATACAATTGAGTATACATGGCGACTTTATAAAACAGTATATATGCTGATATCACCATTACGATCTTTTGAATGATTTATCTTTATGAAGGATCAAGAAGTATCGGGCAAAATCGGCAGTTATTATAAGTTTCTTGAACCTTTTTAGTCGTCATTTATTTGTTTCTTAACTACCTGTTTGAATTTATTTATTATGATTTTTGCCAAACGTTGAATCAATTACATATGGTGTTTTAAGTTTTAACTAAAAATTATGTAATTTGTAAATATTTCTTTATAATTTATTTTTGTTGGAGCCATGTTTATTGGTGTATATAGAATTCTAAATTTAGATGTTATTTGACCAAGCACATTTTCTGAAACATGTTTATTTTTATATGTATATAATACATAATAAGTTTTAATTTATTGCAATTTTCCTAAGCTATTTTTGAAGTTCTTCCATATTCTTCGATTTATTTCTTGCATATATATTTTTACTTGATCTGTAAAATTTTATGATAAGTAGCAATTGTAATAAACGTATATAATGATTTTGAAACCATTCTCATGAGTTGAATACGAATAACACAACTAAAGTAAGAGCGGGGAATCAAGTAATGGATGCTATTGACATCGCGGAAGAAAATAGACAGGGAGACAGTCTTAGCCTCTTTTTGTTTAATCTCCTGATGGATAAAATTATAGAGGAAGTAACATCCTTAAATGTATATAGAAACAACGACAACTCTACCACTTCAATCAAGTAAGCCACAAGCTTAATAAAGCAGACACAATCTGGTCGAACCCGGTATATGCGAATAGACAACAAAATTCGGATATACAAGACGTATCGGTCGTATGATAATGATATACGGAATAGAAGTGAGGACAGAAACAAACAAAACTAAGAGTGGCCGAGATGAAAACACGAAAACGAGAATGGACAGAGTGAGAAATTCGGATATTAGAGATCAATGCAACGTTCTGACATACTGAGATGGGGAAGACAGTGGAAGAGACAATGGCATAATCACGTGAGGTGTATGAGCGATGATAGACTTCCGAAAATTGTGCTTGTAAATAACCCCCCCGGTTCAAGACCACCTGGGAGACCCCCAAAGAGATGGCATGACAGCTAGAAATCGAGACATCAGGAAATGGTTCAAAGGCAACGACCTCAGAATTAACAGATCGACAGATCTCCAATAAGAAGAAAGCATTCTAAAGATTAAAATTATTACCCAAAAATTGTAATTTCAGCGAACATTTTAAGCTTACGAAAAATTTCAAAACACGACTATCACGAGTGATACAAGATACTGTGTCTTTTATAATACACTAATCTTGATCAATCTCGCGACTGGGCCACAAAATCATATTCAGTCGCATTAATGAGATCACTGACCAACACAATTTTAATATGCACATATCTAAACCCGATGAAAACCTAAGAACCTTAGAACTTATACCACCTTTTTCTCTTTTTAAGATATATTTTTATTATTATCGATCACCTTTTTACATATTTCATTTGTACCAAAATCAAAATTTGGCAGTGTTCCATAGTAGATCGCCAAAGACACCACATACAAATTGTGGAACACCTTCTTGGCAATTTCCGTGCCAATTTCTGGGCGTATAACTAAAATTTGGTCAAACTTCTTCCACTGGCACACTAATAACAGTGTTGCTCTTTTTCGTTTCCGGTTTCTTGTGGTCCCCTGGTACGATGTCCCTCTCCTCTTCGTGGTATGACGGAGCGACTCTGCCGCTTTGTATCGGTTGCTTCAAAAAGAAAATGATTAATAAAGAAATTTAGGAAAATTAAAATTTTACCCGTTCTTTTCTTGCTCGAACCCATTCGTGAGTAATAACACGATCAAGCGTCAATCTCAATGTAATATCCGGTTCCAAAATATGTCTCACAATTGATTTCGCACTAGCGGAAATCGTGTCGCGTACTCGTGACCGGAAAACCCAATTTCTAGTCATTTGATCTTTGAGTAATTTTCGTAAATTTGAATCGTCGAACGGCATCGAAGCGTTCAACATGATGAATAAGATAATCCCTAAGGACCATACGTCTGATAGTTTAGGATTGTATGGGGTGCCGTTCACTACTTCTGGGGCGGCGTAAGCCGCCGAACCGCAATAAGTTTGACTAAGCACGCGGCGGCCTTCCCCGTCCACACAAAAACGTGCAAAACCGAAGTCTGCCAGTTTTACGTTGAATCTTCTCGAAAGCAAAATGTTTTCGCATTTTAAATCGCGATGAGCTATGTTCTTGTTATGTAGATATTGTAACCCGCTCGCCATCTGGCGGAACCACAATTTTGATTGTTGTTCTGGTACTACGCCGTTACGTTTTATAAAATCTAATAAATCGCCATTATCTGCATACCTATAATTTTGTTATTAAAATTTCTTACGTTTCAAAACTATATACACAATCATAAGGAATTTTAGCATAAACAGAAAAAAATCATAGATCTTATAATAAGGAAGTGCTATCAAAATAATGATAAAGCTCTTCTGTATCATACCTTATATGATTTATAAAAGTATTGATTTGATGTCTATCCAAACATGAAACTTACCTCATGAAAATGAAAACACGTGCACCTCTTTGGAGTATGCTATGTACCTGTATTATATGTGGATTTTCAATTTTGGTAAGAATATCGAGCTCCCTGGGGAAAAATTTTTCCAAGAAGTCCCTGGGTGCTTTCTCTTTATCGAAGATTTTGCATGCAAGACGCATCTTCTTGCTATTATTGGAGCCATCGACGTAGTCCGCCAGATGGACGGTTGCGTAAGAACCTTGGCCGATTTTCTTCCCAATCAGATATCCCCGTTGCTCGAGGGCGTTCACTTCGGAGTTGCGCGGACTTAACCTTGCCGAAGCCATAAGAAAAGCGAAATATCAAGACACCCCGGTCGATGTAGCATTTAAGTTAGAACGCGGGGCCTCTTCCGTCAAACCATCCTAACACGGTAATTTGCTCTTCAATAACCATATAAATCTAAATGTTAAAAATGAGTATACAAGAAATTTTAGAAATAGCCCAAAAATGGCAATTTTTTATGACAGAACACAAATATTTTGTCACCTATGGAAACTAGATTTTAGACTTTTTATTTGTCAGAAATATTATAACACATTTGACACATGTTTTAAAATCATTTTTCACACTTTTCATCGTTTTCCTTCATCGCTTCAACTTGTTCCTCTTCCGGTTTATTCGCCTCTTCTTCCTCCACAGGTTCTTCAACGATAGGAATTGGCGCTTGGCTTTTATCACCATCTTCATCCTCACTATCCGTATCGCGATCTTCGCCTGGATGAGACGAAATCAAACCTTCGTGCCCTTTTATTTGGCAATCACCAGGTTTCTCCCATTTCTTCTGAGTGTGGTAATAATCTTTCATCACCTTTACTTTTTCCATATAGTAATTATAAACAAAATTGGCCATTTGAGTCATATCTTGAATTTTAATTATGTTCGATGTTGGTATAACATTATTAAATCTTCCACTTGGATACATTTCATTTAAAACCAACTCTAGACATAATGGCCTTGACATTAACTATAACAAATTGATTCAGAAAAAATAATTTGTAATAAATTAATACATACAATTTGAAATGCTGGTGTTAATTCGAAACAATTTCTAAATAATGAGGTTCTGGCAAAAACATATAAACCCAATCGAGCTCGAGACATAGCAACAACCAAACGTCTAACATCTCTTAAATGACCGACGGCTTTTGTTCTTACCAACGACAATAAAATATAGTCATTTTGCTGTCCTTGATATTTATCAACAGTAGTTACTTTGTGTGGTCTTCCAATTAATGGATTTTCCGCGCATCTGGTATTAATCACATCTCGAATTAAGTGCTTCTGTCCGTTATACGTAGTGAGAATTGAGATTTTATTAGCGGGGTAACCAATTAAGCGCATAAACATAAAAACCGCAACGCAGTATTCCGCTTCGGCTAGATTCTAAAAAGAAATGTTATGTATTATTGTAATATTGAACAAAAATTGAATAGCGATATTACTTGGTAAAAATATGGCGACGGCTCTGATTCGCCAACATTGTTGAAATCTTGTACGTCGATCAATTGAAAATCATAACAAAAACCGGCATTTGCTTGTTGATACTCTCTCCAATTTTGAACGTGAGATAAATTTCCTAGGTTTTTATATCTCCAGTTATATAAATTACAAATACTGTAAACATTGATGTACATATTTTTAGTTCAAGTAGCTTTTCAGTTATTTTTAGATTTAGGGAATGTAAGAAATGTGTTCTATTTATTCCTGCCCTCTAACAACAAAAACTTACCTTGGACGTGACCTTCCTTGACCATCCAAATCAACAGTTGGCACACCCAACCGTACTAGTCGTGTAAATAAGCTTTGTTCCATATTAGAGTATTTCTGGAAAGCCATATTTTTAATAACAGGTGGTAATTGATGATGATCTCCGATCATAATCCATCGTTTTAATCGATTAAAACCGTCCTGCGGGTTTTGTAGCAACAGAGGAATAAAAGTTTCGATTTCTAAAATTTGAGCCGACTCTTCCATTAAGATATTATCGTATTTAAACCCGATATCCACTAATTCTTTTCGTTTCAAAGCCGCGTGAGTACAAGTCATTGCGATTATTTTCGCTTCTTTCACTAAAAGATATTTAGATCGATCCAACCCGGAGCGTAACAATTCAAAAGCTCTAAATTCTTCAAGTTCATCAAAAATATGTTTAACATATCGAAAACAACTTTCGGCGATCGATAAATCATCGTCGAAAGATTTCCCTTTAAAAAGCGGTTGAGGTGCGTTTTGGAAAAACTTAGTAAATGGAAATTCTTGATGTAACGTTTCCAAAGAAATTTCTTTTGAGGAATTTTTCGATTTAACAACACTCTCGAAATGTTCCCATCTTGATAATACTTGGTACAAATAAAAATGTCCCGCAGTTTCGCACGTGTATGCAACGTCCCCTTTAACATCCAAAGATTCTTGTAATCTTTGCACTTCCATTAATAAATCTAAACGTTTTGCTAAAACGTAATTAACGCGTCCGTATCGACTGAAATCTTTTTCCGTTTCTAATGCTTCTTCACCGTGACCCAAACGAAGCAAATGTCTCTCGTCTATATCCAATGCAACGATCTTTTCGAAAAGTTGATTTAAAGCTTGATTGGAATGTGTTACTATTAAAGTACGTTGGTTTGGGAAATTATGGTATAAATTTGAAATTATTTGAACAGCTACATCGGTTTTTCCAGTTCCTGGTGGACCAACAACTAATGTTAAACCAGGTTGCATACCGGATTTAATAGCTTCAATTTGAGTAGGAGTAAAAGCAATTGTATTTCTGGAAACAAAATTAATTTTTGAATAAGTCAGCTTGATATAACAACGCAAGTCTTAAGCTTATTATATGCTTTTTTTTGTAAAAAATTTTGTTTAATATAGACTTAAATGTCAATTGTTACTGCGATATAACAATGATAGTATGTTTATTACTTATTTTGTGAAGATGTTATTATTTGATATTTTATTTTGAGATCATACTTTGTAAGCAAAGTGCAAGAGTGAGTGAGTCATATTAATTCTGAGACATGTGATATTTGAATTCATTTTTACATGTGATTTCGTTTAGTTGTAATTGAACACAAATATTTGCAATGTCTACAACGTTGAGTCATCGAGAATATGCTGATGATAGTTGTTTATGGGAATTGCAACGGTAGCATAAAATCGTCCGGTTGGTGAGTACCAGTGTCGCTTTCCTTACAAAAAATGACAGATACATATTTATGCCACTTCAGTAATGGGTACATATACAGGTTGAGTTTTTTTACATGCTTAGTATGGAGATCTCGAAAACTAGCGGAGATAGAGAGACGATTAAATAGGGAAAGAATTGCAGTTTTATGAACTCAATTTAATGAGTTCCTGAACAAATGATACCGCACCAAACATTAAATCCAAATTTAACTTGAGGTCTCCTCTCTTGAACATGATGCGGATTTTCCGAAAAATCACCTAAAAAGTTACAGGTTTGTGTCATAACTCAAAAATTATTGCTTAAATAAAAAAATCAGTTAGACTGTTTTATTAAACATGTAATACCCTACACATTTTTCCTAAAATCAATAATAACGGAGCCATAGGTATCGAACGATAAAACAAAAAACGGTTTTTATTAATTTTAAACATAATGTAGAGCCTCGTCTGTTTTGATCACTTCTGTTTTTTGTTCAAGTTTCTATTGGTGTTAACATCAAAGTTACAAACTCTAAATGATAACGCAGCTTTTGGAAAGCCATGGAAATTAACGAAAACATTTCAGTGATGTTTATTTAGGGGCAGACAAGAAAATGTCTTTAAGTCTTGTAGAAGTTGCTCAGGCAGTGGTTTTGGTGGAAGATGGACTAGTACCTTCATCAGACGAATGGCCTGCATGTAGCCCTGATTTCAACCCCATACAACACATGTGGGATATGCTAGGGAGACGAGTTAGAGCCCGTGGTGTCGCTATACAAACGCTAGATGTCTCCGAATAGCGCTAGAAGAAGAGTGGAACCAGATTACTCAAAATGAAATTCAAAACCTGATTCGAAGTATGCCTGAAGGGTGAGAGATACCATTGTTATTCACTATTGCTGAAATTGAAGAGCGCCAAAATGGGGAAGGCACCTACAGAAATATTGGCAAAGGGTCGACGTTTCAAATAAAAAAAACCTTATTCAAATCAAGCAATACGTTCAAAAGTTATTGCACTTGGAACTGGTCATCATTTTAGGCGATGCGTTTTTTATGCCGCTGAGTGTAGTTTATTTTCAGTTTTGAAAAATCCAATACACAGGGTGCAACAAAATTCTGGACCAAAGCAAATAGCATAACCATTTTTGGTTTAAACAAATATATTCTTGTTAGGTTTTTTTTATATTAAAAATAGTCGATAGATGATATTAACTAACAAAGTGACAAAAATAAATGTCTTTGCAACCAAAGCAATACCACAAACTTCTTAGAAATAAACAATGTATAGAAATTCCTGGATATATGCCCCTTAAGTGCCGCGTATAATGCGTAATGAATGGGTAGTAATGTTTATATGAAACCAAATGTTTACTAGTATTATTTGACATAAATTTCCTCAAAAGTGTACTTTTAATTCATGAACCTTATTCAAATATTTGCAAAAAATGATTGGTAATCACTCAATATTTACCTTTTGGGTTCGTTGAATAAATAAGGTCCACGACTTGGTATTATGTGAGGTTCAACAATAATTTTTTTATTATTTTTTTCTTTATCTTCTCCTAAATCTTCAAAAGTCAATCTAAAAAAAGTTATATAAAAAAAACTTTAAAAGACTCAAAAAATATGTAAATATTACTTAAAAGGTCTAATTAATTTTTGAGGATTGTCCGTTTTAACTTTAATTTCATAATCGGGAAAACACGATCTTAAATGATCCATATCGATAAAACTGTCATTAAAATCCATAGTTTCGATTTGATTGGCCATATTTTTATAATTAGCGGCGCTTGGATCTCCATAACCGAGAATGATGTCATGTAACCAGTCGGGGACAACGCATTCAGTGTTCATTAATTCCCTTATAGTTTCAAGAACAGCTTTAAAATTGTTTTCTTTCGGTTTTCTTCTTAATAAAATACTAAAACCTTTATAAAAAATAAATAAATACAAATAACATCAACAAATTTAATTTTCTTACTTCCGTAAATATCTTCAATTCCCTCTTCGGTATGATCCATATCAATAAAATATTGATTACTATCTAACCAAACCCTGTAAGTTCTTTGATCGCCTGGTAAAACAGGCCTAGGTTCGGGACTATCTTCAATAACCCTCCCATTACTATCTAACATCCCTTCAACTTCGCATCCCCGAACGCAATGAAGACCAACTTGTGGTATAAAAGATTCCTTATAATTATATTTAGTTCCGATTGGATTTGGCGGTTTTACACTGATCAAAAAACAAACGTCGTGTTTTCTCAAATTTTCCCATTCGGCTTTAATTTCCGGTCGAACAGCCAAATTCACTGTAACGTCAGCACGAACTCTCGAAGGTCTTTTTTCACCGATATTCGGTTTGGCAACTTCGACGACAGCAAAATTTAAAATTGGCTGAGCCATTCTTGCCCAACCACCCCAATAAATAGAACCATCTTCGGATTTCCACGGACATAAACGACTTACTGCGTCTTCAATGTCTTGTCTTATTTCATCTAAAAGGATTTAGTTATTAAATGACAATTTTAGAGTTAAAAATTAAATTTTTACATGTTGATTCTAAACGGAATAAATTAAAGTTTCTTAAAAGATAATCGTGTAATGTTAGAAATTGTAGATTAAGTTTAGGTAAAGCTAAACAACCCTCGCCTGAAAAATAAGCTGTCGGTACAATGTTCTCGTCCCAAATTATATCTTCTGTCGGATATAAAGGCATTTCGTTTAAAGTTTCAAGTTGTGAAGCTCGTTTTTCGTGCCTAGAAACCTAAACATTGTTTGTGTTAAATATTTTTTGATCAAGAAACTTTTTATTTACCAAAAGCTCTCGTAAAAATTCCGTATCGAGTCTGCACCAAGAATAATCATTTTGTTGTTCTTTAGATGGTACCAAATGTAAATAAGTCGCAATTGCTCTTAAATTTTCTTCACTGTAATAGTTATTGCAATAAAATTGATCAAATTTTCTTATGAGTGCTACATACAAAGGGTGATTCTGTTAAATGGACAAACTGTTAAAAATTTTAAATATGAAATTCTCACTAAAAGTCATTCAATTTTCTGAAAGTCGGCGAGTTTTCCGCAGTGAAGTTTGAAACGAAACCACCCTTTTTTATACCGTGATATTTATAGATTATTTATATTTACCTTAATGAACTGAAATGTTTTAATAAATTTTCACGTTTATGAACACTGGCTACGTTTGCCAGAGCAAAGTTTCGTAACTCTGGAAATTTTGCAAAAACTGCTTTCTGAAAAATTAAAATCGAATTTATGATTACTTTAAAATTGTATAACTATAAAATATGAATTATTAATTTACAATGTTTTTATTAATGTTAGTAAAAAATGAAAAATTGAAGAAGAAATATAAAAACATTTAAAGAAATGTAGAAACACATCAAATTGTTTTTGTGAACTTTGCTATTTTGCATTAAACTGCAACAAAATATGTAAACATCATTAATTAATACTGGCATTGATAGTAAATTTTTTTATTATCATCATATTTTATAATATAGCAATTCGTACTTACTCATTGTTATAAATACATTAGCAAGTATGTAAACATTCTTTATTGCAACTGTTTCTGAGAAAGCAAAAATACAAAGTTGTTTTGGAATTTTTTGTTAATTATTTTTTGCTATAAAATAAAAGTTTATTATTTCTAAGAAAATGAGAAGAAATTAAGGGAAACAAACACAAATCAGGCAGTGTATGTTTTCAATTAAATTAATCCTTATAACACTATTTTTATACTTATATTTACTGACTATTAGTATCGCGGTCATAGATTCTTATTTAGGGCTTTTCATGACAGAAAGAAGATCGATTCGGATAACTGACAAAGGTGCAAAAGATATTTTACGACAGTGAAATTGAAGGCAAAGGTAATCAGAATGTTACTGTCAATTCAGATAACAGCGGTCTAGTTGATAATCTTAAAGCAGTGATACTGCTGATCGTAATGCTCAACAGTACATTTTTTACCTGTAAGTTTTTACCATTTTCTAACGTTATAAGTTACAAGCCACAAACATCACAAGCCATAAAAAGGAGCTACAAGGTACACTAAGCAAAACATAGACACAATTTGTAGTAGTTTTTGCCTATGTTTTAAAGTCCAGTTTACTCCAGTTCACTGGACTAACGCAGATGGTTGCATGAAGAAGTGCGGAAAAAGCTGGATGTTGGCGAATTTCTACGATTTGTTAGCTTGTTAATATTGGTAGGAGTTTACAAATTGCACGTTTGAGTATCACAAGATCAAAGAGTATCATGTCACACCGCGTGACCTTGGTCCAACTTGTATGTAGTGACCCTAAATATTTTAAAGACCAAATATTTTAACATTCACTCCTTCTCTATATAATACTACGTTGTATTCTCAGATGTTTGTACCATCAGTTTGAGTTTTTATGTGTTAGTTAATTTGTGTCAAAGTTCATGCTTCCAGAGATGATTTACCAATATCGCAACGACATGCAGCGTATTTTCTGGAAAATAGCCAACAAAGATTACTGTACTATGGTGGATTGCCAACGCAATCAGAAGAGCCAAAAAGTAAAGGTATTATAAAGGAATATGATATAATGTACACCAAGGGGAATCAGAAAAAGAAGTTTTTAGTACAACTTCTAGAGGGAAGTGAAAAAACACGCATAGTTAACGTGGGTGATTTCAAAGAAAAAAGTACAGTACATGGCATGGCTCATCATTTAGTTTGTCAAAACATATAAGGTCAAGACCATACTACACAGTATGATCTTGACCTTGAATGTTCTTAAGGTCGCGGTCATGGTCATTGGCACTCCGTCCTCGGAGAGATCTTAAAGTGAAGATCATGTCAGATCCCTCACTTCTATTTGCTGGTTGACGAAATTCCTTCAGTTATCTAAAGGTCAAGGTTACACCGTTTGACCTTGAGGTTTCTGAGGACAATTTTTAATTTAACATGACGTCCCAGAGTGGTTAAAAACCATTTGATAAGAGATTGTTGGAGATATTTTTTATATAACTCACCATGTTCAATTTTATCAAACTGGTTAGTTGTTTTTGCGGTTCAAATGGAAATCCAATGCGCTTTCAAAAACATTCATTTGTAAACTTGTTTTTATAACACGAACGAATTAAACCACGTTTGATAACTATGTATTATTTTATAGATATTTATAAACAAACAAAATAGAACAAATTTGTTGTATCAAAAAAAAAATTCTTTCAGTTATTTTTATATGAATAATCTTACATTAAAGCGAACTTATTGTTAGTTTTTGAACTTGAGTCGCCCCCTATTATCTCGATTAAAAAAAATTCGCAAACATACAATGTGTAAATTTATTAAGAAAATAAACAATCATAATCTAACTGATGGATAAAGTATTGTATTATGACGTTAATAGTAGTGTTAAGAAGCAAAACCACAAGTTGTAGAGATTTATCAGAACATTTTTAAAACATTCCTTTGTTATCTTGGGAGGCGTATCTACTCCCAAAGGAAAACAACGCTTTCATACAACACCCATCTGTTTGATTAATATTTATTATAATATAGCGAAATGAATGTTGAACTGTAAGTTATTGGTAAACAATCTTGAATCGATAACGTCATATAATAAATATGTATTCGCACGTGTATTTATACCAATGAGTCTTCATACTATACATATTTGGTATTCAAATGATTTTAGCAAAGCACTGGACATTAAAAGTTTTTTTTAAAGGTAAACCACTTCGTAAAAATTCAAATTGCTTACCTGTAATGATGTTATCCTCGAATAGTGTTGCATTGTCATGTCATGGTCGGTTAGAGGATCACCAGTTTCATCACTTATTTCAAATCTTGAGTAAAATTTCAACATATCGAGTAGCTTAAATCAAAAAAATATATATTAATGTGTTTTATATGAATCATAAAAATTTTTATTTTGGTTTAAGTATAATTCTAGAGTGATGTTAGGAATTTCACTGAAATTTTTACATTAATTCGAAATCGGACGTGTTAAATGACGCGATTATAACATTTTAGAAGCAGTACAAATTTCTCTGAACGGATGCAGTGACTAAAACATACAATCTCTCTAAACAGACATAAATCATCACAACATTCCAACACTTGATATAATTTTTACGCAAAAAATCGCTTGATGATATTCTTTGGTACAATTCGTTTAATAAAATCATCATGAACAAATTTTCCTCGGTTGTAAACTAAACCACTCATTGTCAGTGCAGCAATTGCAACAAGTAATTGCGATGGAATTTGATCTGGACAAATGTTCCTTTTGTGCAGTTCATTCATTCAGAGGAACCGTTTAAAAATTAAGATTTCAAAGTAAAGTAATTTTCATTCAAAGTATGAATTTACGATTATAGTATTAACAATTTTCAGGGTTTTGTTATTTTTACCGAGATATCGTTGAACGTCAATCATTTTTATCGGTAATGATATTATTTTTTAAAACCAAATATTTTTTTAAAACTTAAAAATATGACCTCATCAATAAATTTCGTGCGCCAAAATATTTAAAATACTTCAAAACAACTCATGTGCGTTGTTTCTTATGTGTCCTTGAAACCGGAAAGAACTATTAAAAAAAATCGTGTTTTTTAATATCACCAAAAAAAGCAGAATTAATCAAAAGTTTCATATCATATTTGCGAAAATATAATATTCGCGCTTATCATTTATATAATACAAAATATACTGAAGTATTTACAAAGTTGTAGTCCCCAGCTCTGGATATATTATTAAAACAGTTCTCGCTTCTCGTTTAGCGTAGTCGGGCAACAGACTTTGTGTAATCCAGTTCATTGTGCCATATTTTTCTCTAAAAGAAATAGCTATAAACGTGCGATGAAGAACATAAATAAGTTAATTTAATTATTGTGTATTTTTGTTTAATTAATTTATAAGTATATCATTATAATATGGATTAAGTGTGCTAGAAGTTGATATAAACAATTTTTTAAGGTAAAAAGTTAACTAATACCATTTTAAATAAATAGCTTGTAATATGAAAGTTCTTTAGATAGACACTGATGATGGTTTAATGTAGTGAGAAACCTGCATATTTATACATTAGAATGTTATCAGATTTTCCAGATAAATCATTTATATTATTTACAATACAGATTGTTTAAACAATGTTTTTTATTTTAAGAAGTGGGTGAGCAATATTTCTACCTACATTCGCAAAATTATCCTTGTATACATCATCTAATTAAATAAATTACCACACGTTTGTATAAATCGGTTACTCATTATTAATAAACATTCCAGTATATTTTTTGTGAAATTACAGAAAAATAAATTAAATTCCAATTTTTTAGAGCCGCAAAAATGATTTGCACTTCAGTCATTATCCTCGTTGTATTTATTTCATCTGCAAAGAGTTTCCCAAAATGTTGCGAAGAAGATAATTATGTACTCAACGGTTCTTGCATAGATGGATCGAAGCTTAATATTGAAGATTCAAAATGCAAATTTACATTTACGTTATCAAATGATGAGTATATTGTTACTGAAAATAATTCTCTTTTATTACTCAGTTTCGATGATCTGTTATATCACAGCGATCAGTAAGCATTTCTTTAAAGCACTATATATTGGTAATATAACAAGTTTTGATTGTTGTAGCTATTGTATAACAAAAAAATATGGAACAATTACCGACATAGCTGTTGTTTGCGAAACCGATTTACTATCTAATGAAGAACACCATATTTTAAGACCAGTGTGCGGATTAATTTCAGTGTTATTTATGCTTTTAACGATATTGGTTTATATTACGCTGCCTCAATTACGAGATTTACAAGTAAGTGTTTAAATTGTATATTTAAAACATACATTTTTCTTTTCTTTTTAGGGAAAATGTATACTCCACACCTTAGCTGGTTTAGCAACAGCGTTTCTTTCTTTAGCTATATTACAGATTAGTCCAATCGCTAATAACTCCACTTGTATTTTTATGGCATTCCTGACATATGCTTCGTTCCTTTTAGCATTTTTTTGGCTTAACGTGGTTGCATTCAACGTATGGAAAAATATCGTGTAAGTTAATATGTATTAGAAAAATAAGGAAATAAGTATGAAAAATGTCTGTAAGCTTATTTAATTAATCATTTTTTTATGTCTATAACAGTTTAAAAATAGGCACTACTTACTTTGGTACTAAATTAAAATTCGAGTAGGGAATACTTGAGAATGTCTTGATGGCATTTTATCACTGGTTAACTAGGCTCCATACGTAATTCATTTAACGTGTATTCTACCTCAAATACAAAGAAAATCGAAATTTGTTTTGTAAAATAACTCTTCGTTTTTTTTCTTCAATTTTTTAAAGTTCTATTTTTAAAATTCATAAACAACTTTAAAGATATCTTACGTATATACTTATAAAGCAGTGAAAGACTGGTACAAATTTTATTTTAAATGCAACACTTTTCCTAAAATATCTTTAAGGCCCATTTTTACCATCTCTTGATAAATTTATTCGATAGATAAATTGGCACTCTTAGCCAATGAGAGCGTTTAAAACCGCTGTAACCATGGTAATTATCTATCGGTTAAATTTATCAAGAGGTGGTAAAAGTGGACCTAAGGTCCATTACTACCATCTTTTTTTGATCTTATAGATAAACCCATCTGCTAGCCTATCAGAGCGCGTAAAATAGCACTAACCGTGGTAATAATCCCTTAGATAGCTTAACCAGAAGATGGTAGTAACGAGCCTATGTAAAGTATCGTTATTTTCATATAAACTGGAGTGCTAAATAAGCATAAATAAATAAAGCTTTTTAATGACGAGAAACAATAAATTTGAACCAAAAAACACAAGGAAATAAACTTCTGCTTAATTGCGCAAGAACCATTTATCACTGCACAACGTAGGAAGAACATGTTGAAGTTGCGAAATTAGATCTCTTCCATTTAACGTGATCTCTATTTTTTCAATACTTCGTCAACGTGAATCTCTTCTTATATGTGTGGGAGAACACTGTGGGTGTTAATCTATCTCTCTGACAATATACTTAATCTCTCTAATGTATTCCAACGAAGTTACTTAGATATTCTCAGCGATTAAACTCAGTAACTTTCTTCGCTTGATGCTTATCGGCAGTTAACTTCAAGAAATGTAATATAATCTCTTTCACAAACAAAGTGATCATCTCCAATTACATTCTCAGTAGTATTTTTACGCATAATATTACTTAGATTAACGACCCGAGAGTCACATTGTATGTAAATTTAAGTATGATACCCATGTTAATGCTTGTTGTAGTGAGTTAACGATAAGTAATTGACTTCATCATGACATTCACAGCGTTCAAATTTTTTCAGCAGTACTAGAATCGGCAACATCAAACCTACATTAGAAGACATACTAAATTAAAAAAATCTAAATTATTTTAGTTCCCAATACTGATTCATATTTGTAAGGTATTCTTCAACTTCCTATCATTTCCTCAACACCATTTCTGAGGTGATACCTTAACATATATAAAAAGATATAATCACATATAAAACTCTTAAAAGAGGACAATACATACATTTTCTCGTTAATTTAACCCATCTGTAATCCTTTTATTATTAATAATGGACTAAGACAAATGTTGGTTTATAACCGATTAGTAATGGACCCAGTATTTATTAATGTATAAATAGAAATTATTTAAATCTTTAATATGCATCGAATAAAAATGTCACCTTGTGTTGAATTTAAAGTGTATAGATAGGATGTGCCAAAAATGTTTTCCTTCAAATCAGTTTAAATATAAAAGTTATAAAAGAAAATACGATAACAAGAACCAAAAATAATATTCGGCACACTTAAATTTTATTTTAAGATTGAATAAAAATATCTAAATTTAGGGAATGTTTTAGTAAACCGAATATGTTAAATAAGAACGACGACTTCTGGCACATGATTTACTGTGTTTATGCTTACGGAATGACGTTGGTATTTGTAATAACAACCCTGTCCGCACATCACGTTGAAGGCGATCACATTCGACCTCGTTTTGGAGAAGGAAGTTGTTTTTTCAATGGTAATTAAATTGTTCAAGTTTTTTCTTTGTCTTCATTCTTAACAACTTAGTTCAATTTTATAGGAGAAACAGCTACTTGGGCTTACTTTTATGGACCAATAACAATCTTATTAATAATCAACTTCATACTTTTTATGTATTCTTGCGCGGTTCTTTGGGGTGGCAAGCAACAACTAAGCACGCAAAATATTCGAGGAGCAAAATATCGTTGTTTAATGACGATGAAATTGTTTTTAATCATGGGTTTATTATGGATTTTTGAGGTTATTTCATATGCGACGCAAGATAAACATGAAATTTTAAACAAATTATGGTAAATTAAAAAATTTAATTAAATTTATTAATTAAACATTACGTTTTTAGGGCTGTAACGGATTACATCAACACAATACAAGGAATTTTAATATTTTTGTTGTTGGTTGTTTTTAGAAAAAGAGCTTTAAGAGGATTAGCAAGTAAATATTCTTGTTTTGGGAAATTTACACGATCATGGCAAACGTTAGATGATGAAGAATGTGTTGAAGAAGAGGAAGATTCAAAAGGATTAAACGTAACAATATAAAAGAATCTCATTTATCAATTTGTTTATATGTTTAATAATTTTTAATGTCATGTTTACAGATTTTCTAACTAGTCAATTAAAATAAGTACTTAACCTTGAATAATAACTATGTATATTATTTTCCTTTTCATGGAAATAAATGTTAAACAAAAATTATTCTTTTTAATACGACGAAGAATTAAGTCTCGATATATCTTTTTTAACGAAGAATATTGTTTAGCGGGCCATATGAATGAATTATTATGAAGTATTAAAAAGAGATTTACTACAATTTTTCCTAACCCATCAACATTCCTGAAAACAGATTAAATACGAAGTTCGGATTGTAATTTATAGATCTCAACGAACTTCACTTTGAAAAACTTTATATGGTTATCTTCTAAAAATATTGTTTATCTAGGTATATTGTGAGGTTAATAAATTAAGTTAAAATAGAAAAAAAGGTAAACGCATTTTTTAATTTCTCAAAAACACACTTCTATTATCTTCCATATATTCTATTGAAGATGATATTATCTCTCAATCACTAAGAATAGGTCAAACATTTTGCGTCAATTTACTTGAAAACAATATCTAATAAGTGTTCTTATAAAACAAGTAATTACTCTAAGTGCTTGTGCGTAGTATCTTGATTAAATTTAAAGACGGTGACAAAAACGTCGCCGGATTGTATTCGTAATATACTTATGACGAATATATCGGTGTTGTACGTCAGGGAATAAGCTTTTGTATGATAGTGTTTGGTTTTGCATTGAGTCGAAATTCGAAGGTGTTATGAAGTATTAACACATTTGTTAAAAAAATGTTTAATCACACTTGTACAAAGACTATTGATGAAGAAAAGGTACATAATATTCTCAGCAGTCATACCTCGATATTTGAAAAATGGTTAAGTGTTAGGTATGTGTTACGCTATACTTATTTGTCTAGGATTCTGAGAAGAATTCAATATTATGTAATATATAGGTGTTTATATAGGTTGTATGACTTTCTGAACAACCTGCTTAGTTATGTTTTATATGTTGTAACAGGTTTTAAAAAATCCTAAAACTTTTGTGCATAAAATGTATCTTTTTTAAATAATCAACCATTCTATATCGGTGACTCTGTAGATGCTTAGTGTCTTTTGTAGAAATTCCTCAGAATCTAAATGGTAGTGAATGTTACACTTTACGCTTAAGGTGATTGGGTTATTACTCTAACCCAGGTAAGTAATAACACTAGGTCCTTCACCAAGAGTCTATGAGAAGATGGGATGAACGCAGAATGAATTAGGTTTTGAAAAAATTTACAAACCTTTAATGCAAACAACCTTGTATGTTCAGAATAAATACTAAGAATTTTTAGATAAATTCAATCAAATTGCATAACCATAATCAATATTAATTTGGAAAATTTAAGCGATGTTTTGATGTTAGTACATCAGTCAATATAAAAATGTTAAAGAGGTCACACGAGTTATTTAAAAACTAAAAACTTGAAAAGATGCCGTTTTGCAATAGATATTGTGTGGGTTAATTTTTATAACTGTTTCAAAATCACAAAATTTTTGACAAATCTACATTAACAATAGCCAATGAATTGATAAGAGACGCTTGTGCGTCACGCAATTTTCTATTTGCCTTTATCGGAGAGCGTTCTCAATTGAACCGGATTTAGTTATAAACTTATATTGGAAAATTTTTTACTTCCCCACAAGAAGAAAACAAAGTGTTAATTAAGTTAATATTTGATAATGATTGCATACTAAAAACATCTAAATTAAGAAAATTATCCAATAAAGCATAACGCTTTATTTTAGAGTATGACGCTTAACTTTTTTGTTGCTTTTCTTCTAGAAAAAAAGAACCGTTTTGAAATACCGCACATGCGCAGTAAACTACATTTTTTCTGTCTACGTTTTTAGCACAAACAGTAAGTTTAAAATCGAGTAATTTCATCCACTTGTTTGTAAAAACTATAAATATATGGTTTTCCAGCGAAATGAAACAATTAAAACGCAAATAGCGAACAATATTGTGATAAAGCTTATATTTAGTAACAAGTGAGTAACGGAAAACAAAAGAAGATGTACTCCTAACCTCACTTTTAAAAACTTTAATGTTTCTTGAATTAAAATATTCCGTCCAAAACAATTTTTCTTACAATGAATCTCTTAAGAAAACTTTTTTTCGTTTCTCTTATTACTGGTATTTTTCAAACTATTTATTCATATAGAGACGAATCTAAATTAAAAATTAATAAATGTTGTGAAGAGTACGAAGTGTATTATTCTAGTGTTTGTACTCACATTAGGTCAGTGAATACAACAATTTGGGATCCACAATTACATGATTTTATGTAAGATTTTATTTATTATGTAATAACAAGATTAATATTTTAATTAATATTTTTGTGTAGTTTTGTTACGGGAAAACCGGATTGTGGTTTTGGGAAAATCTGGTCAATTTTTAACAATAACTCAACAGATGTATTGAAATTGCAACCAGATGGCTCGCTTAGTCATCTTTTGTATCATGAAGCACCAAAGACTTTTGATGAGGACATTTTTGTTAGGATGCATGATAATCCTATTGTTCATAATTATCCACAAGGGAAGTATTGTATGGATAAGGTAAGATAAAATGTTTAAGAATTCTAAAAAAGAATTAATATTTTTTTAAAAGAGAATTGAAGGTAATATAAAAAGTGAATTTGCTTTGGTATGTATTGAAGATCAAATTCATTGGACAACAACAGAATTTATGATGAGAAACATTGCAAATCCAATAACACATGCTATTTCAATAATTTGTTTACTTTTTATTGCAATAATTTATTTTATAATGCCCACATTAAAGGATTTAGTGGGTAATATTATAACAACAATGTGTATGTGCCTTATTGTGAGCCAATCTGCTGATATGGCAAGATTACTAACAGTATTTACAAGCCATATTAGTATTATCATAACAGGTCAGTTAAACAATATAGGTGTTCTATAATTACAATAATTTTTTTTAGAAACTTTTTGTTATGTAAGTTTGCTTGGTACATTTTTTTGGCTAAACAGTTTAGCTTATTATATTTGGAAAACATTTCGGTAAGTTTAGCACATATAAAATTAAAATGGTATTATAAAACGGTTTTTTTTTGGTATAGTTCAAAAAACGTTTTCTTAAGAATAACTGATGGTCGAAAATATTGCTATTATTCAGTGTATGCTTGGTCATGCACAATTTTAATGGGATTTGTAGCTATGTTTGCCCATTACACATTGGATTATCCAGCAGAACAAACTTTAAAAACGTTTGAAGAACAAGAATCAATTGGATCTTTAGGAATAATAATCTTTTTCATGCCCATCGCCTTCACTGTAATCGCTAATATATTCTTTTTCGCAACCACAATGAAAATTATAAACAGAATGAATACTTATGGAAGAATACATCATAAATTAAAACATAGGTAATGTAATAAATTCTATTTATTAGGCCTACTTTTACCACCCTCTTGATAAAGTATCTAGGTAGGGTTTCACAATCTGTTTTTTTTTCAAGTCTGCCCTGATTATAAACAATAAATTTATTCATATGCCCACCTTTAATTTTTTCATACAAAAATTTTTCTTTAATTTTTATTTCTGTTGATACAACAAAAAATAATGTCTGCCCTGCTTGGAGTTTTTGGCAGAAGTAACCTCGGTCGACTTCGAAGACGTCGGCTGTCATAAGTATTGTCCATGATACTTGGGGCGGCCGACGTCTTCAAAATCGACGGTGATTATTTCGAGCATAAACTTCAAGTAGAGTGTACTTGGATGGGTTGGGTTGGGTTGGATTCGATTGGGTTAGGTTGGGTTGGGTTGGAGGAGGGCATAAAAATATTTCTTATAATAATCCTGCTTGAAGTTTAAGGCAAAGATAATCACGGCCGACTTCAAAGACGTCGGCCGCTCCAAGTATTGTTCGTGATATAAGAAGTAATCTCATCCCAACTTAACTCAATCCAACCAAGTCTGACCTTCTTGAAGTTTATAGTAGAAGTAATCTCGGCCATTCTTCGAAGACATCGGCCGCTATAAGTATTGTTCGTGATACTTGGGGCGGCCGACGTCTTCGAAGTCGGCCGAGATTACTTCTACCATAAACTTCAAGCAGAGTGCACTTGGATGAGTTGGGTTACGTTGGGTTGGGTTGGAGGAGGGCGTAATAATTTTGCTTATAATAACCCTGCTTGAAGTTTAAGGTAGAGATAATCTCATCCCAATCTAACCAACCAACTAAACCAAGTTTATGGTAAAAGTAATATCAGTCGACTTCGAAGATGTCGGCCGCTATACGTATTCTTCATGATACTTGGGGCGGCCTACGTCTTCGAAGTCGGCCGAGATTACTTCTACCATAGACTTCAAGGAAGGTAGACTTGGTTGGATTGGCTTAGGTTAGGATGAGATTACTTCTTATATCAGAAATAAGTACATCAGTAGAGTTGATATAAGAAATAATCTCGGCCGTCTTTGAAGATGGTTTAATTATGCGTTTTCATCTTTATATTCCCCCTAGGTTGGGAAATCCTGATCTAGGGATTTTAAGCGCTCTCATTAGCTAAGAACTGGATTTATCTACCAGATAAATTTATCAAGAGATGGTAAAAGCTTTAATAAGTTAATTTAATTATTTGTTTACAGTTTCAGAATGTTTCTTTTACTATTTCTGACATTAACAATAACATGGATATTCTTTTTGATGTCATTTTCTAAATATGACGGTTTGATTTATTGCCACATTGCCATTAATGCATTTCAAGGACCTCTATTTGTGTATATTTGCATTTATAATCAAAAACACGTTTTACATCAAATAAAAAAGACGTGTTGCGGCCCATGTTGTACTTGCTGTCAATACTCCCAAGAACCTGAATGTGATTGGGGCGATGAAATGTCCGCTATGAATACTGGTTCTTATTAAATATTTAAGAGAATTTCACGAAAATTCTATAAATCCTATTTTTGTGTACTTATTTATATTAATTTTAAGATTGTAGCACCAACCAAATGTATTAGATTGTGACTTTTGCAGCCTTTTCTATTGTCTTTTTTGATATTTATATGATTGAATTTTTTAATATCTATAAAATTTATATCTTTTTATATTCTATATTGTACTTAAAACTGTCTTTTTATTGTGAATAAATTTTTTATTAAAAGAAATCTTACCTGTCTAAATAAATGTCCTTCATCTCTATGAACCAAATTGGATAATTGACAACGCACCACCAAGTGGCAATCGTCCAAAACGGTATTAAAAAATCTTCTTGTTGGTAAAAGCGCTTCTAAATCAGTTACTAATTCCAAAAATCTTTCGCAATAATGAACCTTATCAGGGCCAATATTCCCTTCTAATGGGATACTCTCCAAAACATTAATAAATTTTAACATTAATTTATGCAAAAATAATCTTTCCCATGTTAATTGCTCAATTTGATCGGGTTTATCTTTCTTTTGAATTGCCCGCCAGTACTTTTTCCACTTTGGACACAACTTAAATTCATACTCGCGGCGATCAGGTTGTAAAGACATCCACATTGATAACGAAACCAATTTTTTAACTTGATCTCTACAAATTGATTCTTCCATACTGTTGAAACAATGGTTCAAAAAAACCAAAAGCGCTGTTTGCTCTTTAATCGTAATTAATAATTCATCATCTTCTAAACAAAATTTCATAACTTGTTGAAAAAAATTTGGAAAATATTGGGTGTTTTTCTTAAACGGTTGCCATGCTTGGACTCGTTCACGAAACTTTTCATTTAACATAATTACAATTGACATTATGTGAGCTGGCGATGACCCTGGCTTATAATTTGGCCATAAATAGTTTTCTAAGTATTGACTAAATTCCAATACCATGATACGACGTACAGAAAAACTAAGAAATAATTTTAATTACAATATAAATTAAATTTTAAATTAACTTTCTTCTTACTTGCTTCCGCGGATATCTTGCAGGTAAATATCTTCAATAACATTCGGATTGAAATCAACATGATTATCAAGAGTATGTGGGGCCCAGTATTTATCAGCTAGCTAAAAACGATAATACATATTAGAATGCTTAGGTTATGTTTACATTAAAGTGAGGTTAGGAATTAATATTCCTTGTTTACCTGTGTTATATGATCCGCATTAATTTGTTCTACAGTAGGGGCGACAAGTTTAACGGGAACGTTTTCATCTGCAGTCATTTTTAGAGCTTAGTTAGTTTTTAATATTTAAAACATAAATGTTTAAATTTTTCGCACTAACATCGTTTTGGAACATCAAACTGTGTTTCACCTTACAGGAATCTGTAATATGAACTTAAAAATATTTTATTTATGTATAATTATTAATTTATTTAGTTTGTAATTGCCTTAATATGAATGAGAAACTGGTTTTTGTGAGAAAATTCAACTTTATAGTAGTAATAATAGAATTTGGCTATTACATGAAATAATTACAGAAAACTGTATTTTTAAATTAGAAATCGTTTGAATTTTGAATCGTATTTTGGGGTTCACTTAAAAATTGGATTTGTATATTTTATGAGTGTTTATTTCTCATATGCAGGGACACAATGTATATATTATAAGAGAACAGGATTTTACACGTCTTACTAGTATAAGACATCTACAAAAATTCTAGAACATTTTGGACCTTTCTTACCACTTCTTATATCGTTTTCAACTTCTTCAACGCACATCGACAATTTAAGTCGTAAAGTATCAATTTAGCAAGCAGCTACAAGCATTAATGTAGCAAATAAAACATCCAAACAGCTAATATTCCACCCGGCTAAGCTCAAAACCAACGTTTGATAAGCATAGATAACGTGACAATAATTTCCTTAATCGTATGAGAAAGGAATAGGCAAATAAAACTACACACATAATATCCCATATACATATTTGGAAAAAGAAATGAAGACAAATAAAATAAAAAATTGTTACCAAAAAATCTAATACAACATCTGTAGAAATTTTCATAATAAATATTACTCACGTGTATTTCAAAACGTGTATTTAGGAACAATTTTAACTAAATAGCACGTTTTGAATAATTAAACCCGTTATTACAGCGTTGTTTTGTTTAATAATGCGCAATTATTCTCCATCCTAATCCATCATTTCAATTTGGAACCGTTTAAATATGTAAAATTAAAAATTTCCATTTCCACTAATACAATGATTCAAATATTAATGAATTCACTAATTAATTTCATCATCTATAAATTCAAGTTTTAACTGGAAATATTATCATATTCTCTTTAACATTTAATCATGGTTTATCATTGTGAGGAAGCAACAAAAGTAATAAAATGGATGATGATGGTTTGTGGGGTTTGGCCAATGAAAAATCCTTCGATTCTTTACACTTTAAGAACGACTATAACATGTACAATTTCACTTGGATTTTACTCGGTAATGATTTTACAAATAATCAAAGTTTATAATTCTTATTTGAATTTATCGGAAGTGTTATACATCACATTAAACACCACTTCGTACATCATAAAATTGTATGCCTTTATATTTCAAAAATCTATATATTTAGAAACAGAAAAATACATTTACGACGAAATTTTTAATCAAGAACAAAAAGGACGTGATGAAATCTTAAAAGAAATGTTCGGGATGATAACAAACATAGCAAAATTTATTCGGTTATCAACGTGTATGTGCTGTTCGTTTTTCCTACTTTTTCCAATACTCGAAAATAAAGCGTTACCCATTCCTTTTGCGTACAATTTGGGTGATAAAACCATTTATATGTACGTTTTTCAAATTGTTGGGATCATCGTTTTTGGTTGGTGCAATACTTCTTTCGATGTTTGCTGTTCCACTTTTATGGCAATTTCCGCTGGACAAATTGATTTGTTGAGACGAAGATTATCTACGGTTTTCGATGAAATTGGAATTACACACGAAAATTATATCGAATTTGATTTAGAGAGACGAGAAATTGTTCAAAAAAATATTAAAGTTATTCTAAAAGATTGTGGTAAACATCATCAAGCGATTATTAAGTAAGATTCTTTTTTGTATTGGTTTTAATAAATTTAGATATCTTTTTAGATTTACTGAAAAAATTAATGATTTATTTTCCTTTTCAATTTTTATTAAATATTTCGCAACAGCTTTAGTTTTTTGTAACAGCATGTTTCAAATTGTGATTATAGTAAGATTTCTTTATAGCTAAAGATTTTTTGTATATTTTTATTCGTTTCAGGTCAAACCTTTCACTTTACAATTTTTTCAATTAATTTTTTATTGTTGCTCGGTTTTTGTTGAATTGGCTTTGTATAGTTGGGTTGGAAATGAGATAATAACAAAAGTAAAAATAAATTTTTTCATTATTTCTAGTTGATTAATACGTTGATTTTTAAGAGCTCCATGTTGGGCGAAGCTTGTTACATGAGCCATTGGTACAACTATAACACTTCGAACAAAAAATCTTTATTTTTAATGATGGAAAAAGCTAAAAGGCCAATTGCTGTTACAGCCAGCAAATTTGGATATGCTTCTTTAGAGTCATTAGTTGGTGTAAGTTAAAATAATAATTTTTTTTAATTATGTAAAACATTCCGATTTTTTTAGATACTAAGATGGTCTTATTCTATTTTTACGCTTCTAAAAACCATGTATACTGAACATTGAAAATCAATCACGTTAAAAATCCAAACAATCATTAACTGAAATTAGAGCAAATTAAATTTTGATGAAATTATACACCCAAAAGAAAATTATCCATCATTACACCACCATTTTCTTTCCCACTACACATATAAAATACGTGTTGAAAATTCCTTAACACATTAATTCTTACTTTTTGTTTGCACCGATATAATAAAGAAACAAATGGCTAAAAGATATATCTGTGTAGAAGCAATGGAGTCAATTCAAAAAATGTTAAGTTTAACGGGGATATGGCCCAAACAAAATCTTACAACAAAAGATGTTTTAATAACCGTAATGAATCATTCCATGTTTGTGTGTATTTTGGTTATTTTATTCGTAGAAATCATAAATGTCTCGCATAGTATAACAAAAATGAACGTTGTTTTATGTACAATGTTACCGTTTTGCACTGCTTATAGTAAAATAATTTCAGCAACTTATTACCGAAATAATTTCTTAGCAATAATCAAAGATATCCGTTTGGAAATTTTTAATAACTACCCAGATTCTAAAAATAATCCGCTAAGAGAAGTGTTAAAAGTAACTAAAATGATGTCGATTACATTTAGATTTATGATGGGTGGTGTTTGTTTGTTTTACGTTATATTTCCATTTTTCGACGATAAAGATCTACCGATTCCTTTTTCACTGGATTTGGGAAAATACAAGATCGTAATGCATATTTTCCAAGTTGTTGCACTTACAATAGCGGCATGGAACGTGAGCTGCATAGATTTAACTTTTGTAACGATAATGGGAATTTGTGCAGCACAACTCGAAATTTTATGCATAAGATTACAAAATTTCGCTACGAAAGCACGAAAAATTTCTTATCATCGCAACGAATTCGATCGAAACGTTGGAATATTTCTAAAAGAATGCGTCATCCATTACGATGGAATTATTAGTCTTGTGGCTAAAGTTAACAACATGTTTTCGTTTATCACATTTTTTCAATACTTCTTGGGAATGCCGATTGTTTGTAATATTGTTCTGCAATTAACGTTATTGGTAAGTTAAAATACAAAAAAATTAAACCCAAATATTTCTTTTCTTTCATGTTTATAAAAGCTTGATATTCGTTCAACTGAATTCGTAATGACGATAATGTTGTTTTCAACAATGGTGACTCAAATGACTATGTACAGTTGGTTTGGAAATGAAGTTATTGTTAAAAGCGACAAAATAATCGAATCAGCATATCTTTCCGAATGGTATTTATGTCCAACTAAGCATAAAAGAACTTTATTTATCATAATGGAAAGAGCAAAAAAGCCTTTAGCAGTAAGTGCAGGTGGATTTACATCGGTTTCATTAACAGCTTTATTAGTGGTGAGTTAATACACTTTTTTAAATCTTATATGTATGTACAGTTATGGGTCTGGTGTATTAGGAATTGAAATAAATTAGTAAAAATCAAATTATTCCTATCATCTCCATAATTTCAGTATGCGATGTTGCATACCGAAACACCATTAAGACAGCCAATCATTTTTAAACATACTTGCTCTATATGTCATCGGACTAGAATATTGATACTAGCTCGAAGAATTTTTTAAAGTTTTCTTAGCCACAAAAACTGATCTTTTCGCATAACTTCTGCCTCATTACGAGCCACGTCCGTGACACCACATCAAAGCAATTTTGTTAAATGATATATTTTTAACCATATGTGTTAATCAAATATGTTAACCAGATGAAAATACAAGTCAATGGCCAGAACTTAAGTTAGTATACAGAAAACCGAGGAATAGCCAATGTCAGGACTGTGTAGAACGTGCTAACCAAGACATTGAAAATATAATAGATTGACTCAAGGGTTTGTTTAATTTATGAAAAACGAAAGGCATAAAACAGTGACCTTACATAACTATGTTTAGAGTAGATCGCAGAATAGCTCTTTCAACGACATCTTTACTACCCGAAGTAATAATTGTTGTTTACTATGAGGATGATTTTTGCAAATTTGTTAAAGCTCTGGAAATAGTAAAAAATCTTCTAGCTTCGAAAAAATTCTAGAAAAATAGTAGCTAAACGATACTAATGAAAGCCGGCAAATCATGTTTACTAGCTAAAGCTGTAGAAAATGCTACCATAGCAATTTCTGTTGTAGAAAGAAGTAGATGATCCTAAACTGAACAAATTAATCCTAACATGCGTAAAAAAAACTGGTCTGACATATGCACTGACTGCATGCTAGTTGTATCATATATACCGTTTTGAATAACTCAGTAAAAGAAATACATCAGAACCAGCTTTTTCTAAATCAAGTTATTTTTACGTACAAGTTTTGTATACATATACTTTGAGTATAAACATTAACAGTAGAATTCGGAATATTTAAAATAATACCATATTACATTGTTAGTAGATTGTTACTTGTTATTACAAACAATTAAAATGTCCTCATACTGTCAGCATACCGCATAATCGAGTTAACACAACGCTGAAAAATCTGATGTCAAAAATTGTTCCCCATATTAACATCTTCTGTCTGAGCATCTATTTTGCTTCCATGTACAAATGGCACTCTTCTATTCATTTGCTGATGTTCTGATTTTCTTTATTCTGACTACGTCTATTCGACTACGTTGACTCCTTTCATGCTTTATTATAGTTTTTGATTAAATTACAATCTATACTAACATAACTGTACATACATATCTACTTAGTGTGGATTGAAAGAATAATTTTTGTAAATCACTCTTCATTTTAAAATTAAAAAAAGAAAATTATTCTTTGCCACACTTCAAAAACACTCTCTAAACATATCTTTTACCATAAACAAAAAATTGCAGATTATTAAATGGTCTTATTCTATCTACGCTTTAGTAAGAACCGCATTAAAACAGTAATAAATGTTGCAAATTGAGTAATTTCGATAATTCGATAATGACAATGCACCTGTTTACTTCTACACAATTTTCTCCGTTATAAAAACAAATCCCACCTCTCGAATATAATTCACTTTTCTGTACTTCACCAAATAAATATAAAAAAATAGAAAATGGAGAATTTACATTGTAGCGAAACAGTAACAACGATTAAGTGGATGTTAAATATAACTGGTTTGTGGCCAAAACGCAACTTAAGCAAACGACAACTTTGTTTTATAATATTAAATTGGACAACGTCGATGTCGTTGATGGTTATGATAACATTAGAAGGTTTGAATCAAACGTACGATCTACGAATTATGAATGAATTATTGTGTACGGCTATACCGTACCTGGTCTATTTAATTAAATTACGAGCGGTGACGACAAAAAGGAAACAATTTTTGAATGTTTTAAATGATATGGATTCGAAAATATTCAACGAAAATTTCGGAACGTTAAAAGAACCGATTCGAAAAGCAATTCGAACGTCCTTGGGCATTGCCAGAGTTTTCAAGGGTTTGGTGTTTGGAATTGTTATTTTTTACGGAACGTTTCCATTTTTTGATGATAAAAATTTGCCTATTCCTTTCTCATACGATTTCGGAAATTATCATTACGTTATTCATGCTTATCAAACGTTGGCTTTGAGCTTAGCCGGGTGGAATATTAGCTGTTTGGATGTTTTATTTGCTACATTAATGATTGTAGCTGCTTGCCAAATTGATACTTTACGACTTAAATTGTCGATGTGCGTTGAAGAAGTTGAAAACGATATAAGAAGTGGTTCCCATAGTATTGAAGAATTTGACCAATTGGTTATAAATAAAATGAAAAAATGTGTTCGTTTACATATAGCTATCATAAAGTAAGTGTGTTAGTGTAAAGCAGAAAGTTATGAACAATTTTCTTTTTAGATTCGTTGAGAAACTTGAAGATATGTTTACAACTACAGCATTTTTTCAATACACATCAGGAATGGTGTTACTTTGTAGTACACTCTTACAATTAATTTATATTGTATTTTTTACATTTGCGTCAATTAACTTATTTACATGATTCTCTTTCCAGATTGAACCAAAATCTCTTCAATTTCTATTAGACATTGTTTTTCTTCTGGGAGTGTTGGCACAATTTTGGATGTATCATTGGTTCGCTAACGATATATTACATAAAAGCAGTCAAATTAATAATTCTTGTTACGAATGCGATTGGTACAGGTGTAGTCCTTCTTTTAGAAAAATTATGATCACTTTAATGGAAAGGGCAAAAAAACCTATAGGAATCACGGCTTTAAAATTTACACACGTTTCTTTATCATCTCTTGGAACGGTAATATCACCATTTTAACAGTCACTTTTTACCAGCATAACTAATTTTTTAGATTTTTAAATGGTCTTATTCACTTTTTGCCTTGGTAAAAATCAAATTTTCATCACAAATTTAGACTGGCTTGGCGTCGTTGTTTCGCACATTGTAGTTTGGTCAGATTGTTCTTAATATAGCGAAAAGTGTTGTAGTTCATAACAAAGTTATGTAAAAGATCTAAAATGTTCTAGAATTACTGTAGATGTCTTATATTATAAATTTTAATGAAGATATATAACATTGTCTTTAGCTTTCCTCAAAATCATCCTAGATCTACTTCTACTTCGGCAATAGCATTTCTTAACATCGTTCCTAACCTCTCTCAACATAGTTCTTAAGTTTTCTAAACATCGTTCCAAGTATCCCTCAACATAGTTTTGAGTATTTCTCATCATAGTGCTTGGTCTTCCATTTTGTTGCTGATATTCCTTTAGATTATTCAAAATTGTCTTGGCTTACTTCAACATTATCTATGTCAACATCCCCAAACCTGCCTCAATAACGTTATGACATTATTACCAGTTTCGATCAACATTGTCTTTAGCTTTCCTAAACTAAATTTTTATATTTTTCCACTTCGCCAATACCATTTCTTAACATTATTCCTTACGTCTCTCAACATAGTCCTTAACTTTCCTAAATATCATTTGACATATCCCTCAAGATAGTCCTGACCCTTTCTCATCATATTTCTTGGTGTTCCCCTTTGTCACTGGTATTCATTAACATTATCTCTGACTTCGATAACACAGCCCTTAATTTTCCTTAACCTTGTCCTTAGCCTTTCGTCCCTGGTTTCTCTCTTTATCAATGGTATTTGTTCACATTTTCCTTGTCCTCATCCAACATAGTGATTAACTTTTCGCAACATCGTTCCAGACATCCATCTTTGTCACTGATATATCTTAACATCGTCCCAAACATTTCTCAACATCGTCTGTAGCTTTCTTCAATATTGTCCTGGTCTCCATCAACGTCGTCTATGTTCATCTGAATCTTCCTCACTTCGTTTATATTATAACACATCATTCCAAAAAGAAATAAATCATAATCAATAATGATAACATTCTATGTCGATTAACTTGTTTCTCGGTGCTTCTAGTTTGTAAAGTTTTGATTTTTCAAATTATGCAGCCAAATCTTTCGATTGTTGTTAATTATTCAACGCAAGACCAGTTGTTAATTTAAGTTAATTTGTTAATTTTATGGCAATTCAGCTCAGCTTACTTGTTTATCTAGAATTACGTAATTAACTTCGTTTTCAGAAAGCGAAATTTCAATAATTTAAGCTATCATCAACAATATTATTCACTGATATATTTTATTATTTTTGATTACTTTTTTATTACTCGCAAAATGAACGAATCGATAATACTCAAAAATTTTGACATCAAAGAAAATTCCAACAGAACTAATCCTGTACTTAACAGCAATTTCATAATTGCAGTGGAAATAATTGATTGGGTTATTAGCTAATTAGAAATACAATTGAAAAAGAGAATATTTAATCCCCAATTTAACCAAAAATCTATATAAACCAAGTTTCTTAACATTTTTCACTTAATTTAACTCAATTTCAGTAATATGGCTTCTAAACTAATTTTAAATACTTATCATATTCAAGAAGTAATGTTGTCTTTTATGGGTTACTGGCATAAAAAACAAATTACCACTCCATATATTCTAAGGGGGGTCGCCGCAATGGCAATTTTCTTTCTGGTTTTCACTGGGATGATAATGCAAAATTTTTTCGTCGATTTTAAAGAGTTGGCGGAAGGTTTGTACCTATCAACATCGTATTCATCGTATTTTTTGAAATTATCCGGATTTCTTATGGGAAGAAAACCCTTTTTAAAAATGATGGAATTATTAAAAGATCCCATTTTCGCTTCGTATCCAAAAGAAATCGAGTTCCATTTGGAAAAAACAACCAAGCTCACCGTTTTTTTAACAAAGCTTTACATAATGATCTGTACTTGCGTCGTCTTGTCTAGCGCATCGATTTTTTTTGTTGATGGCACATTGCCGATGCCAGTGCCGATTAATTTCGGAAAATACTTGGTTTTAGCTTATATAGTTGAAATGACCGCTATGGTTATTGCGGTTTGGAACAATTTGTGTTTAGATACTTTATGTGCTTCTTTAATGGGATTAGCGGCTGGGCAATTGGACATATTAAAAAATAAAATCGAAATTTGTAATGAGATTGCTCTCAAGAAAATTGAAATTTTTGAAAACGACGATAATGACGATATTTTAATGGTTGTACAAGAAGAGGTGATTAGATTGCTAAAAAATTGTATTCAGCATCATTCGAAAATTATTTTGTACGTTAATTTAATAGAGAAGGTGTTTTCTTTTAGTATTTTAATCCAGTTAATGGGGAGTATTATTGTTATTTGTAACACGGGATTTTTTTTATTAATAGTAAAATTAAAAATATTTTTTGTTGATAACAAAAATATGATTTATCAATATTTTTTTAGATAACTCCTTTTTCTGCTCAATTCTTTATGTTGGTTGTTTATTTTATTACTATGATGAGCCAATTAAGCTTGTACTGCTGGTTCGGAAATGAAATTATCATCAAGGTATCAATAAAAAGGATGCGTTAAAAGCGAATTTATTAGTTTTGATTTTCAGAGTGTGGAAATTGGAGGTGCTTGCTATTTATCTAAATGGTACATGTGCGATAATCGAGTTCGTAAATTATTATTTATTACTATGGAACGTTCAAAAAGACCTCTTGAAATCACTGCTTGTAAATTTACTAATTTATCTTTGATAACGTTTTCTACGGTGAATGAGTTAAAAAATTATTTTTTTTTCTTATTTATTGCTTTTTATTTCCAGATAATACGCTGGTCCTATTCTTATTTCACACTGCTACAAAGATTAGCTGCAAAAATGAATTTATTGTAAGCTGGAAAATGTTGTGAACCTAAAAAATACTAATTAAAATCATTTTTACTACTAAAGTAAAGATAATCAAACCAAATCAGGTGTATTAATTAGATCAAATACAATTTTGAGAATTATTAATTAAGTGTTGTTTTAATGAGTTCCATAGACTCTTCTCAGCAAAGTAAATGCTGAATAAGACCATCGAGTAATCTATATTATTCGAATTTAATTCGATATTAATTAGTAAAAACTTTATTTTAATAAATTTTATACTTACAGCAACTAAAGTTACTAACGAAGCAACAGTAAATTTACTAACATTTATATAAAGAGGATATTTAGCTCTTTCCATGATAAAAATTAACGACTTTTTTGACTTTTGACTATAAGAATACCATTCAGTTTCATAACAAGCATCCATGATTGTTAAACTCTACAAAAATAAAGTAACTACCAAGAAAAAAATTTAGTATAGTAAAACCTCGATTAATATCAGTCAACCTCAATCAAGGTTTTACTGTATTTATATAAAATTTACCTTTATAATAATTTCATTTCCAAACCAACAATATAAAACCATTTCAACGTACATCACAAGAAAATAAGTAATCAATTGAACAAATTGCATAGCAGAAAACGTAGTTTCTAACAAAATAAAAACTTGAAAAATGCTGTTACAACTTTCGACCATCCCACCCAAGAAAATCGTTAAAATCGCAAACGAAAATAATTTGTCCACTTTCTTCGTATAATTTATAATGGCTAAATGATGTTGGATGCAATATCTTAAATCATCTTCTCGTTGTTGAATCGAACTATTTTTTGTAGGTCCATGAACCAATCGATGTTTTAAACTATCGAATTGTACAGCGGAAACAACCATTAAAGTGGTACACAATAAATCCAAGCTAATATTTGACCAGGCACAAACTCCGAGTCCAATAACTTGTAAAGCAAACATGATCGGTTTGAAATTTCCTATATTGTAAGAGAAACGTATCGGTAGAGATTTGTTTGCTAATAAAGGAAAGATTCCAAAAAGACCGGCGCTTGAAACTGCTGAAAATTGATACATTTTTACTAATTTTTTGATAAATAATACGTTCTCTTCGAGTATTTCATCGTGTGTTTTTGAATTTGGATTGAAAATATTCGATTCGATGTCGTTTTCTAGCGAATAAATTAATGTTTTCTTAGTGAACATAGCGAAAAGTTTAAAAGCGTAAGATGTTAATGAAATCATTACATAGAGCACTTCGGATACTGCTAAGATATCTTCGTACATCAAGATAATTTCTAAAATGTTGCAAATATAGATAAATAAATACAAAGAAATTGTAATGAATCTTCTTAATAAATAGATTAAATCTGGATTTTGTCTTGGCCAAATCCCCACAACTTCTAACATCCACTTAACGGTTATTATTATATCTTTTGATCTATAACTCATGTTGAACAGAGAGTTTTTTGAAGCAAATTTGTGTGTAAGGTAGTTTATTATTAACTGTTTTAATTAATATGTTTGGAATAAATAGGGAAAACTCTTCGTTTCCTTTGAATTAATTATTCCCCTTTAATTAAATATTTGTGATTTAATAATAAGTTTTACTTGTTAAGAAATAAAATTGTAGTGTATTTACTCGAAAAAATGAACGGATATTTATAGAAATTGAAGCTTATGCATAATTAATAAATTTTTTTTAGATTTGGTAAATTTTTAAAAATAATCGATTGGAAATAAGCAAAGGTAATTGCTAGATTAAATAATTCAACTTTGTGCAAAATTACTTTCTATTAAAAATTAAAAAAAAGTATGTAGGTAATCGATTTTTAAAATAATCTGGGGGGGTCTATACTCAACTTTCTCTCATTTTATTCGATTCATACAGCTCATCAACATCTATACATCACATTTTTAATTGCCTTGTTTGCTTCACTCACGTGCTATTCCACCGCACTTCTATGTCTAGTAGTAAAGAGTGAGTCCGCAATGATTTTGACAATCTATGACTTTTCTGGTCGCTTGTTCACTCCTTCTGCACCTGTTTATCGCTGTTTCTATGCCTTCAAAGTATGAGATAAACAATCTATTGAATCAAAAAGCGCCATACACGTTGCACAACCCAGTTGGCGTTTGGATCTGCTAAATTAAAATATCTAAAAGCAGTACTTTCAACTATAGAGTATAGCAGCATACATTGCATGAAATTTGATTGTTATTATTAATGTATGTCACATCTTTATTTTTTAACTTAGGTTCATTTTGCTTCTCATCCATCTGTGAAGAATTTTGTCGACTCTTGAAATTGTGAAATTTGAATAAAAGTTGCTTCAATCCATGTATTGTTTGTTTTTTTGGTTCGTTACTGCCCAAAGGATAAAGTTTTTTGCAAAGTTTACATATGACTTTTGCAGTGTTTTTATCATAGAAATCCCAACTCGTTTTAAATCTTTCGCTCTTTACATCCTTTTGCTTGAAACAAGATGAAATTTCCGTATGCGCAAGCTAAAGCAGATACAATAATAGAAAAACACTAGCCGAGACTAGACAAACAAAGTTTCGGTTGATTTTGGCAGGAACAGAAACATTACCAAAAGTCATATTTTGGCCAAAATTGGCTGAAACCGAAACCGAATCTTGTTTTCAACGAACCAAACCAGTAAAAGAGAATTAATAAAAAGAAATACAAGTACAACGCCATTTTTTATTGTGCATACATATAATACAAGTATATACATATACATTTTTATTTTATATATATACGTTTGGAAATCTTTGGACAGAATTTAACAACAAATATTCATTTAAAACAGTCAAACAAAACAATTATATTAATAATTAATTAATTAATTTAATCAATAATAATTAATAGTCAACACAATATCGTAAGTCTAAAAGTGTGTGCGTATTATAATCATATAGAAAAAAAAGTATATTGATTAAAACTTAAAAATAAGTAGACATGACTGAAAAAAGAATAGTTTTTCTTCTTCACTTATAAGTAATATAAATTAAATTTAATAATTTATTAAACAACAACAGATTTTCTCGACTTCGTCTTTTTTTCTTAATGATATGAAATGAAATGACGGAAGCCGGCGTGACTAGAAAAGATTGTCGAGTTTGAGAAATTAACTTTTTCATTAAATTTTTTTAATAATTTTTAATAATCACTGTATAAACTTTCTCGCTCTTATAACAAGTCCAAGAAAATCTGTTCAGGTTGAACACACTCGTGACATCATTATTACAATTATTCCTTAATAACCTTAGATTACAAACTTCGAAAGAGAAAAACTCATACTGTATACTTATAAAAAATTTTTGAGCTAAGAATATATTGACATTTTTGTATAGTTCTTTTCTTGTTCTTATTTTTTTGATATCATCTATGATTTTTTATATATAATATAATTTTTATTTTTATTATAAAATGAGCACAACATTCTTTTGGTTTTTTTTGTTCACTTATTATTGAACCTCAATTTAATAATAATCATAATAATACTTACAACCTAAAAGTCGAAAGTTAGTTTTATTATAACGAAAATCTGTTTATCTTCTTAATAATTAATAATTAAAAAAATTAAGTATTTTTTTTGAGTTTCGAGTACATTTTGTGTTTTCTGTGTATGTTGTATGTTTTTTCTTTTTCTTAAACGCTCAGGTACAATAAGGGAACGGCATATTTATCGACATATCAACAAATATGGAAAAAACACGGCAAAAGCGATGCAGCTGTTCATTGATGACGTCATAATCAGTCATTTCCGGTTTCGCATTGGTGACGTTGAACAATTCCTTCTACTCATCTATTAACAATATTTATTTCTCGGTTTATAGTATGAAAATATTTCACGTATAAAATCTTAAAAATGACTGAGTATGCACACTTTTTTCTATTTTTTTTTTTATTTTTTTTTAAATTGTATTCATCAAATAGAAACGGGAGAATGACATTAATAATGTACACGCGATTATACAATTAAATAGATTATTATTGCATACTACACGTCCCCCTAAAAAATGTTTATTTATTTAATTTTTTTCATCAAATTTTTACTTATACCATTTTTTAATTCTATTTAAGAATGCTGAGAGAGCGACAATGCGGGGATGTCGGGGTAAAAGAAATTAGTATCCATGTTTTTTATTCATTCTTTTTAAAAATCTTTGCGAACGAATTCGTAAAACCGACAAATTACGAAATAAAAGTTTCGTCGATTTTATACATTAAATAATCGAGAGATAATTTTTGTTATTAACGGTCAATAAAAACGAATAAATGGCCTATTTACAAATATACAAGCGATTACACTAAATATGACATGTGACGTGACACTGATTTATTATTTTTATTATAAAGAGAGCTTTGTGAGTTTTTTTTTATTTTAATCAACTTTAAGTTTCTCGTCGTTTTTCTTTGTGAATGCATTAATAATTAATTAGGAGTAATTAGCTTAACTGTAAAGTTGGCACAACTGAAGTAGGCACACACGACACGCGAGTCAAGAAATTAGCAGAAGAAAGTTTAAGTAAAAAAAGTTAATACCTTTGGAAGTGAGGGAAAATAAGATACAAAGCTAAAATAATATTTTTGGAAAGGTTTTTCATTCTTTTTGATTTTAGAAAAAATAATATTTCCTCGACCTCTATCTCGATTCATTTCGTTTTTGTTTTTTCATTATTTAATTTTAAAATTTACGTTTATTGAATGATTGTTCGTATAATCACACAGTCACTAGTGTCAAGTTACATTGCATAATAACACAGTTGTTGCCTTTGGATGTCACTAAACGATGAAGATTTTGTAAATTTATTGTTATTTTATATAGGCCGATAAATAGTTTTTTACAAAATTATAATTCAAGGAAATCATACGTAAACTATAATATAGGGTGATTCAGTTAAATCTGGATTAAAAAAAAACTAAAATGCCGACATATTCTAGCACTTCACCACGTCGGGCTTTAAGGTTGCTTGAAAACTCCTATCATAAACAAACAAAATTTTCATCTATGTTGAGAAAGCTAAAATTCAGACTGCAGATCATAAGAATCTAATGTTGTACTAATGTAGATATGAATGTCTTTTGAGTACTACAAATGAATGTTACGGTGATATGCTATAGTAACGAACCTAATGCAATTTAGACTTTAAACGCAGAATAAACCCAAAGTAGCGTTTGGCAGATAGTGGCTTAAGAATTAATTAACGGAAGAATATATCAGATGCAGAGAAAGTAGAAGTAACTTGAGATCAACACCTTTCCTCTAATATAAGCTGATTTAATGTTTGCTAAAATTTCAAAGATATCGGACGTACAAATGAAAACGAACAAATGAAGTGCAGAAGATGTTTGTCACATCGTTAATGAGCAAAGGATGTCGACCAGGAAAACAACGCGGCAGATTTAAAATCAAAAGTATCTGATTAGAGAATGTTCATACCTTCAAAGAGACCGAAAATTTTGAGAACTCCTACTTTCTTAATCTTTGCTTAATCCAGAGTTAACGATGATGAGTACCACCTACAGTTATTTTCAATTTCACTATGTCCACACTTTTCCTATGCAATTTTCGCTTACATTGTTCTGGATTGTTTTCTAGATTGTTCGTTTTGGTGATCGCATCATATCATTCCTTGGTTACGAGAATTAGTGACAAAAAAACAACTTCAATTGTCAACCTGTCTGTAACTGGCATAAATCTATTAAATGACTTGCAGCATGACACATCAAGAAGAAAGCAGATAGTCCTAGTTTTAAGAAGACCAAAATTGCATTTTAATTATTTTATTGCAGATTTTGAAATTTGTTCTATTACCCTTACTTTTTCAATTATAACATTGAGATATTCAATACCTCAGGTGCTACATCGAACAATGTAATTGACTGGTTAAATCTGTGCAGTTAAATCATTAAGTATGTTACTGCTCAATATAAGTAGTTCGTTGTATTTAATGCGGTTGTATTTGTTGGCAAAAACTCCTATGATGACTCTGATTAGGTAGATAATACATAAAAATGTTCGGTTAATTGATTCATGAGACATCTTATCTAAAATTTGACAACAAAAGCAACACTAAAACAAAAGACTACCGATAAATTTGTATTTATACCAACGGATACATACTTCTGGGACGAAATCCCAGAAGTAGATGATATAGAACATAACCGCTATATGGTGGGTATAACCTCAAAATATTATAAGTCCCTATGTTGCTTTCTTACTATACATGCGCTTTTGAAGCATACAGTAAGCTTTAGCAAATGCTGTACTGATGTAGATACTAAATTATCACAACAAATTTCTTTAGTAATATATAAAAAGTTAAAGTAGAGATGTTTTGAGTTAATCAAAAACTTTCTGAAAGTGCTATAAAGAATTATGTTGATAGACATTGAACTAAATCGGATTCCAAGCTATCACGTAAGCATGTGAAGCAAGGTGGAGCATAGAAGCAGTTAGTTTAGAAGAAGTTGTGTAAAAATGTATATGGTATATGTGGAACTAATTAAATCTTGCGAATCTTTGCTCTTTTTGACGAAGAAGCTTTATCTCTAAATATTGCACCCCAACTTGATATAATCTCGTATACTAAGCCACTCTCTCAGGATGTATTCCAGCAATTGGAAGACTTTGGAACTACAGCTTTAGATGAAGTTAATAAGATTAAGATAATAGTTAAACATTTTTATAAAGATCTTGTCAGTTTGAAGTCATTGTGTGGTAAAATAAGAGAATCACAATTAGATTGCAACAAACTCATGACGGTGTGTCATGAGAATATTTTAAATAAAAAATGCGTTATAACTAAGAGTTTGCGAAATTTTTGAATGAAATTAGAACATTTAATAGGCTAGAAATTAGTAATTTAATAGATTTAAGAAAAAATTCATTGCTAAAAACAAAAATTGATGAGGTTTTTACATATCAAAATGTTTCTGATTCATTTCTGGCATTCATTACAATGAGGAGATTTCCCAAAGCTAAGAAAATTGGCGCATGGTACGTAATGTATTCATCATCCGTGATTTACAGCATCATGTACTTCAACTGGATTTGCAAGTTCTGGTAAAAACTATTAGACAATATGTCTTTCTATCCTTAATCTTGTAACTGCTAATGGCAAAATGAATTAAGGTGTAAATATTACTACTCTAAACGCATATAAAACCTTAGCAACTAGCTGGAAGAAACAAGTTTCAAAGATAATGGCATTTACAAATGTAGTCAGGCGAGAAAAATGTTACCATAAAAAGTGTTCTAAATTAGTTGAATAAGCAAGAATTTTTGCATATGTGGTTAATACCCATAAGAATTGTACAGTAACGAAAAAGATGAGATGTGAATGAATTTGGCAATACTAGGAAGGTGAGTGTGGACACTACATTACAGTATGTAAAATATACTACGAATGTAGGGTGGAGAGTTCATTATGCAAGTCCCGAGATTTTATGAGAAGCCATAACCAGGTCATATATATGTCCAAAAATATTCTTGGAACATTGCTTGATAAAATTCTTACTAAAAAACAAATTATAATAACAAAAAATCAATCTAATTCATCAGTTATTAGTTAAGTTTTGTAGATACAGAGATAGGAAATGGTAATTGATTATAACAATGATATGATATTAATAATAGTCTTATCGAACCATTCTCAGGCAAAAAAGAGATAACTACTTTGAGAAGAACAATGGAGAAATGTATGGGGGATGTAACATCTACTGCAGAACTTCCAAAAAATGCTCGTATTAAAAATAAGACGTGCACCTTTTGTGATAGAAACAAGCATAGAATAATTACGAAATGTTCAAAGTATTATTAACTATCTATGCTATGTGTGATGAATATAGAGTGATTGTGGTTTGAGGTGCTTCACAGATTGTAGATAGCAGCATCATTACCATAAAACTATAATATCATAAAAGATGTTTATAGCCCCTAAATACATAATTTACACATCAAACAATTTTAATTATTTAAATTTTTTACAAGTGATATAATATTTCAACTTAAGTTAATTTTAGATTAATAACTTAAATCAATAATGTTGTTTTACTAAATCACCCTGTAGAAAGAATTGAGCAAAGTTTCAGGAATTTTTCTTCCAGAATATCATTTTTTTAATAACACTTTTGTACTTTACAATCCTAGTATTATTTTAACATTAATTTTTGATTATAAAATTTAGTTTTTAAGATTTATTTATTAACCATAAAAAAAAGCTAACAAGAATACAATAAACGTAAGCAATGTAAAAATTTAAAGCTTTATAAAATTATAATGCACAAGCGTTTCAAATTAAAAAAAAATATATCTAACAAAAAAATCATTTTGTTTCATCGTTTAGAGTTCATCCAGGGGCACATAAATTCAACAACCATTTAATTGATAAATAATGAGCACCTGATACCTACAGTATAACATATGTGGCACCAGTTCGTAGTCCGCCGAAAGAGGGCGCAACGTAGGCGCGATCAACGCCATCTTTTTTTTTACTTTTCATATCAGTTTTTTTCTTAAATCTATCGGGGTTCGAATATTACAACGTTTACAAATAATTTGTTTCTTTCCTTTACAGAAACATTTTTCTTTATTTGTAATACATATACAAAGTGAGAGGTTTTTTTTATTCACGATTAATAACATTCAAACATCCACCGTTGTCTTTTTGTCGCGTTAACGTTTATCGTTTTAACTATTTTATTATCGTTTATACCATTTAATAATTATTTTTTTTTTACCTTTTTTATATAAATTTAAAAACGAACATCGAGAAAGCACCTTAACAACTAATAATAACATAGACCGACAAAATTTGGAACTTTTAAACAATCTATTAATAATATTTAAAATTTTAATGTTTCTTTCTTAAAATGATAAAAAAAAAGTCTTATAATAAAAACTTTAAATGAGGGTAAAATCGTGGAATGGAAAATTAAAGCATATAAATTAAGAATCAATTTTAGGTTTTTAAAGTGATTTTAGAGGTCATCAAATTTTTGTCGGTCTAAGTAATAATGTAATAAACAGTTTAATTAATAATAATATCCGTTTTCGCCATCGCGCAGTATTACAACACAGAGAAGAAAGCGAAAATGAAAAATAAGTTTGTTTATGTATAAGAAAGATTTTCGAAGATTAATGAAGAATATATAGAATAATTAGAGGTACGAATTGAGGGGATTGTCGATTTGAATTTTTCATGGAGATCGCACTCGTAGCGCCCTCAGTGGCGACCGGGAGTTTATTTTTATTTTATTTTTTTTTGTTCATCTTTTCTAGATACATATACATAACATGTACAAATATTTATTTATTTTATTATTAAGTATTAATATATATATAGATAGATTCATAGTAATAGACTTTTAAAAAGATCACAACACAGAGTAAACGGGGTCCGGCGCCCCTTTTTTATTTATCATGTTTTTTTAATCATTCCCTCGGGGCCCCATAGACAGTTTTTTGTATTTTTTGTTCGAGCTTTTTAAAACTGTTTTATAATTAAAAAAGATAAACGTTTTGTAATCTAAAATATACGTTATTATTGAGCAAACCCTTGAAAATTTTATTTTCATTAGTGTTATAAATATTTTATTATTAATATTTTATTATTAATATATTTTTTAAAATTATTTTTCTTTATAATTTTACTATTATAAAACAAGAGGCCCCCAGCAAACGTTTCTTTTGCGCTTACCACTTCGTTATTATTATTATTATTATTTTTAATTTATTTTTTTTATTTATAATACGTATATTTCAATATCTAATTATGGCCATAATGATATTTGATTATTTAAAATCATTTTACTATTGCTCGTTGCTTTGCGGTTTGTCTTCATGTTTTTTTTAATTCATTTCGTAGATTTATTTTAGGCTTCTTTTTCTGACGACGCTATACCGAAGCGAAATATCGACGATCGACGTTTTCTTTTTGATTAAGTTTTAATCACTAATTAGAGCGCCTTTAAAGTACGAGTATAGAAAAATTGGGGGCGAGGGTGTTTTTAAGGGGACGATCACAGCCACACGAATATCAAAACTGTTCCTAATTGGTTCATTATATTAAACCAATTTTGATTTTATTAAACGTTTTTGTTAAAAAAAATATTAATGATTTATAAACTTCTTTTAGGAACAGTTCTGATGAGTATTGTTTAAACAACAGAGTTAAAATAATTTGTATAATGATCAAGAACGAAAAACAATTTGAAAAAACAGAGGTATCTGCACTTTATTTGGCATTTTAATGTCTTTTTTGGTATTATCCTTAATCTTTTTTGATTAAGTTACTAAAATTTGATTTAAAATCTTTGATTATTTATTTACCTTGGCATTTTTAAGTCGACGTTTCGCTCCGGAATAAGCGTTCCCAAAAATTTTACAAAATCACCCCCACACCTCGTAGCACACCGACGTAGAGCTGCTTTAACCGACTTCTTTAACCGGGTTCTTTGTCTCACTCAATCTCGAAGGCACTGTCGTTACGCGCGGCATAACGAAACACAACCCCAATTTTTTTTTAATTTGAATTTTTTTCTTTTTTTTTAAGTAATAAATATAAATATTTTTCTTTTTTCCATCTTTTACTCATTATTTTTTATTTATATCTCACTTTCTTATTTCATATCTAACCGTTACTTTATTATTTTCAAATCTAAAAAATTTCCCTTCTTCTCGCACATCTTTTATTAGAGTGGTTAGGAAAAAAGAAGAAAACTCATCATGTGCTCGCGTCGGATCGCGCCAGGTTTACCAGGAAGTAGAGGACGCTACGACCGGAAGTCTCGTTTGATTGCTGCCGATGCTGTTGCTTAGGTTTTTGACGATGACGATGATGATGGACGCTGACCGTCGATGTCGACGACTCGGGTGAACGCTAAGTACCGAAGGAATTATTGATTGGTGCGTGATCGAAGGAATAAAAACCACGTCTGCCTTCATCTTGTATCCGATGAGATTTCATATGAGCACTTCTACTTTTTATTTTTGTGAATATCCTATAACATAAATCATTTTGATGATGTTAGAAACGATTGTTGTAATTAATTTTTAACATATTTATTTAAGATATTTTTTTTTAAATAGATAGTATAGAAATTAAGATTGTTAGTACAGTAGAAAGAAAAACCAGCATATGTACTATAGGTATTTATGTACAGTGTGGTTTTTTTAATAGTTGTGTGTGGTATATAGCAATACTTCAAAAAAAAACGTTCGGAAAATTTCGTAAGAGAGCATGCTAATCCTTATATATACAGTAAATTTAAAAGATCATCCATACTATAATCTATATCTAAATCTAAATCATTCTAAACTATCAAAAAATGTATAGATAATCTTTTTTGTATAGATTTTTGGTGAAGAATAAAAGTAGGCAGTAAAACGGAAAATAGGGCAAAACCAAAATGTAAGTACCTCTAAATTGTAAAAATCCGTCCATCGGATGTTGATAGCTACTTTAGCGCAAGTCGGATAGATATAGAAAGAGGCTTTCATGTTTTTGATGTAGTCAATTTTTTGACGGTAAACAGAGTTGTAGTAGTATTTGTTGGTATTTTATATATCTTTTGGTGTTAGCACGAAAGCGATACACCTACACACCTACTGTATTCAATTTACCTTAGGCTCTATGCTATTGGTGAATTTGTAGACACTTACTTCCCGCATATCTTACACGGATAATCTTCTATCGTTTCGCTGTTGTGACACTGGTTGCTTGAGGTGACCAACGTTAACTTTCTTTCTTGGATGGATGTCGTATTCGGACAATTACTACGCACGCTGCCACCATGTATCCTAATGTGACCATTTAGGGCTGCTTTTGAATTAAAACTCTAAAAAAGATAAACAAATAATTCATAATGAAACGTACAATATGTTAATAATAAATATTTTTTTAATTAAACTCTTATTAAATTAACTATATATATGATTAACTAACATCATCTATAGTATTCTTTAATAGTCAATACCGATTGATAAAAATAAAAAATGTAATGTTTGAGACAATTTCTACTTTTGATGTTGCAGCTCTAAACAATTCTTAGGTCTTAGGTTATTCATCCAGGATATGCGCCTTCTTTCTATACTTCTTCTGCTGCGTATCTTTCCTTGAACAATACTTTGTAAAAGTTAGTTTTTCTCCCCCCGTGCATGTGACCAAGATATTGCAGTTTTATGATTTTAATTGTCTTGACAATTTCTCTTTCTTTCTCCAATCTTTCTAATATCTTCAGGTTTGTTCTGCTCACCCTGCTTATTCTCAGGATTTTTCTATAAATGGCTATATTAGTTAGACTCAAGACTAATCATTACGAAAGTGTAAACTTTGTACATCATTCTGTCCTGAAAACATGAATCAGAATAATGTTGCGGATTTTTATGCCTTTTCGAAAACGAAGTCGTTTAGAGGTGAAATTGCAAACAATTCGTGTTTCAGTAATTTACCGCTTATTAAATGTAATCGATTTGGTCAGACAAGAAATTATAGTTACCATTGATTTACTTTACTTTGAAGTTAATAGCTTTGTTCCAAGTGTTTCTGACCGGTCGGAAACCCGCGATTCGAATTATACATATCAAACAACGCCATCATATTTCGACCGCTTCAATGTGTTCGCACCCAATCAGAAATGCTTGTAATTACTTGCTATTATAGAGCGTTCGACATGCAGATGAAGAATGGCAATTGACCCGTCTATCTCTTTTTAGAACACATCTAGCGTTTAGTTCCACGTCTCTTATAGTCATGGTCAACCTTAACCTTTCCAAAAAGTTACAAAACGCAACAAATCAATTTTTCTTCTAACCTCGATAAATAACAACTTTGTAATCAGGGCTTTTAGTACAGTAAAAGCTACCCATTTATTTATGGGACCATGAGCTGACGCAAAGTTAATAGTGGTACATTAATAATACCACTTAACAAAGACACCGTATGATGAAGTAATAGTATTGTATTTAGACTAAAAAGTGACTCAACTAATGTATATTCTTTTAGCTCTGACAACGCCAACTAAAATAAACTTTTGAGATTACATCTTTACAACATTATACTTTACTTAAGACTATTTAATTTAATTAAAACTTACTGCAGAACAATCCACGAATTCGCACGGAAAACTTCTTTGTTCAGTTATAGGTGATCCCGAGTCTGCAATCTAAAATGTTCAACAAATAAACAATAAAGAATTCTTAAGCATTTTAATTACCCCAAGTAATTTTGAATCGGCAAACTGCTTCTCTTCAATTTCAGCACTTGACCATCTCTCTCTAAGCTGTTTAGCTACCTTATAATCCTCTTTACACATCTTTTTGTAAACATAGTAAAACTCGACGCATTGTTTCATCGATTTCGATCCGATTTCTTGGGATATCATTGCGAAATCTTTACCATACTTTGATAAAGCTTGTTGGAAGAGATCGGTCTCCAAGACGGACCACTTTTCAGTTTCTGAATAGTGGTAGTCGTGAAGGGGGTTTTTAGAAGGCAGAGACGGAGTCGGTTGCATCAATTTCAGCATTGCTTCCTAAAAATTTCGTTTTAAACGTACTCATTAACCAAATATTAATTTCTTACATGGATATTTCCATCGGAGAGGTTGAGAACGTGCATTGCGTACTCTTGGTTTCTTCCACCGCCAGGAAGAGCAGCGCAGCAAGCAAAATCAAAATACATTTCGACCTCTTCTTTTGATTTATTTATACCAGGATCCCAAAGAAGATCTTCTTTAGTCGGTTGTTGAACATACCGAGTATCCAAAGGTCTGCATTGAGGTAATAAGGTTTGGAAATGTGACCCAACGTTTATGTGTGGTGTAGAGTCGGTTTCTGGAACAGGATCGGTCCATGTTGTTTCTTGGTTTTCTGGATCTAAAGTTAATAAAACACACCAATAATTTGTTAAGAAATTAATAATCGGTTTATTATTACCAATCGGTTTAGATTTCATATTCCAATACAACCCATTTCCGGGTCGACTTGGGTTTAAAATGGGAGATGGTGTAAACCTCGACGAACCATGTGGTTTACTTCTTGTAGCCCTTAATCTTGATTGATGTAAAATAGGTAGTTGTAGCGGTTCAGATCGAGGCCTTTTCCGAGGATTCTTTGTAGAATTACTGGATATACTAAAAATTAAACAACCTCAATTATTGCTTCTTAAACGATTTTATACTTCTTACGTTGTTGGACTTAAAAAAACTTCTTCATGTTTCATTGTTTCTATTTTAACATCTTTTGGTTTCGTTAAAATGATTTGCTTTGTTGCTGTGGGAACGACGGTTTGTATAATTTGTTTTACAGGTGGAACCATTTTTTTATTTGCATCCTCTTCTTTGCTTGGATGATTATTGTGAAGTTGGGTGATAATATGAGGAGTCGCCAAAACGATGTTTTTGGTATGAAATGCATTCGGACCGGTTTGTATTAATTTTAATTCCCCATTTGCATCAAGAAGGATCCCGGTGAAGTTGCTGTCGATGATAGCATTACCGCTGATTAATTTTAATGGGATTCCGTTAAATTCGAATTTCTTCTTCGTCGGAAAATCTTTTGGGCTACTCGAAAGCAAGGGATCGTCTGAATTTGGCATCATTTGAGATTGTAAAGGAAAACAATGTATATTGTTTGTTGATGTAAAATTTGTTTGAGTGTGAGGTGATGGAACGGTTGTGCTAGGGATGTTAGATAAAGGAGAAGGCACGGGAGTTAAACCAATCGATAGAGGAGATTGAGGTGGAGGTGAATTTGATAGAGACGAGTACAAATCATCAGCTGCTATACTTTCACCAGGAAGAACTTCTTCTAACGCCTCTTCAACGGCTGCCGAACTGGACATTGTCGTGGAAAAGAAATCCGTTGTTAATAGTTGATTGTTTTGATCGATGTCTTTGATGTACTCTTGTTTTGGAGAAACCATTGGAAGAATCGTGTTCTGTCCAAAACAAGGACTTTGCCCCTCATGACTCGCTGGTGGTGTTGGATATGTATAAGCTGGTGAATCGTGTCTCACCAGAGGGGATTGCAAAGGACTTTGAGCCGCCATGGAAGGATGTGGTGAATTTGAGAATTGAGCTGGAGATCTTTGGTAACTCGGCGATGGAATATCCAAGCTTCCGGTGGTATGAAAAGTACTGAACTCTGCCAAGCTTTCCGGAAGTGGCGAATCCAACACCGCCCTTAAATCCTGATGGGTCACCGATTGCGTTGATTGGTAAGAAGGCGAATCCGTTACACTGTCAGGTAGATTGTAATCATCCAACGAAATTTCTTGAAGTTGTTGCTCCGGGTGATCTTGAAGAAGACTATCAGTTTCGATGTTTTGAAATTGAATGGAAGCGAGTTGTTGGGTATCGACACCTTGTAGGAGCATTGTATCTTGTACTTGGGTGAAAACTTCATCGTGGAGGCTCGGCGAAAGATAACCGTCATCCGGTTGATAGGTGACCCCCAAAGTAAACGCTTCGCCAGATTGGAATTGGATTATTTGAGGAGTTGATTGGCCTGGATCGGAAGTGGTTCTTTTAACGGTAACTTTTTCCTTTTTGTTGAGTATCAGATCCGCCAGAGTATCGGCGTCCTGTTGCGGAGTCCTGGGGACCGTGAAGGTTTCCGCATCGGAATGTCTTCTACTTTTTTCTACAACCGTACTCAATTGAGGAGGCGCGGGAACTGCAAAAGAAGTTTTCGATGAATCCGCCTCTGATGTGGTTCCAGATGTGACTGGGGAATGGACTGTTAGAGGAAATAGAGGCGGAGCTGACGTCCTAACTGGTGATGATGTATCATCCGAAGAGGAACTTATGTTTCTTTTACTTATTATCTTTTCTTCTATGAGAGCCCGTACACTCACACTGGCTGTTTGTAGAGGTGGGCCGTTTGGATCTTTCTTTTCATTCTTTTTGTTATCGGTATCCTGAGATGAATTAAAAAGACGTAAAAGTAGTTGAAATAATCACAAAGTATTTACCTTTTTAAAATATCCACCATGAAGTCTCATGTGACCGTTTAAAGCAGGTATATTCTTAAATTTTCTATGGCACAAATTGCACTCAACAGGCTTTTGATCTTTCCCAGAGGAACTGGCGTTGTTCCCTGGGGAGGTTGTACTGGTAACTTTGGATTGTGGACTAGAAGATGATGGTTTGATTGACGCATTTTGACTCTGAAAATTTATAAATTTTTTAAACCACCCTAATTTAAGCAATTTTAATTAACCTTCTTTATGTAATATTGTTGCCACAAGTATTTATTTAAGTCCATTAAAACTTATTAACGATGAAAAGCTTGCAAGCTATCTTTACATCACCAAATCTAGCTCTAGACTGACGATTTCAACGTAATAGTTACCCCAAAGGGTAATTTTAATAAATGAGATGATGACGTCACAATGGTCAGCAACCCCTTTCTTACATTCTAGTTTTATGAAGAGTTGAAGTTTTTGGACCACGTCACATTTAATTTTTGAAACATGACAAATTGATTTTATTTTAAAAGAAATGGTGAAGAAGGTTACGCTCGAAATAATTTAATAGTCGACAGTGGAATTTTGTTTCGGATGCCTCTTTAATAGTTTCTTAACTTGTTCGCGAACGAAACGGGAAACCTGCTCGCTCAAGATTAGGGCATTGCGCTCCCTTGGGATGCTGCTGTGAGAACCTGGCGAACTTTGACCCCCGGGAACCCAACGGTTCCTACCCTCCGCAACTATCTGAAGAGCTCACCGGAGCTTGATAATTACGTTAGATCGATATTCTATTCGGTTAGAAAGGTAGACGACGACGAGTTATTGCCTTTGTTAAGTTAACGATGACCTGATTAAACGAAATTCTCTATGTAGTTAACGTAATCCAACTTATTTTGTTGTTTTAGTTAGATTTTTTTCGAATTTATAATTAGAATTAATTAATAATTAGTAGTTATTTTTTTGATGTAATATACCTGCGTAAAACGTAAAAGTAATTATAGTTAATTAAATTATTTCCAAAATACGGTTTATAATCCGGATATGCACCGGTAACGAAAGCTCGCGGATTTTCGCTAATTGGAAATACGCTGAACGCGTTTTTCAATTACGTCGAGAACGTCGCGATGATTTTATTTAATTATCTCTCTCGTTCCTATCGGAAACTGGGGCTTATTAACATATTAATAGGCAAAGTTCGACCGATGCCCGTGGAATTTATCAATGGTCGCATTAACGAGCATTATTGCATCGCGAACGGAGGATATATTAGTTTCGGGAATTGATTATAAATTAAAATTCAATTTAATTATTGTATGTATGTGTTTTCGCTGCGGGATAATGAAGTGAATGTTTAAAAATATGCAATTATCCCGCGATCATTGTTCTATAAACAAATAAAACAGTACTGAAATTTCAAATTAATACGATTATATTTGTTATTTATATATAATAAATTCAATTGTTAAAATTTTTGTTACTTTCTAGTTGGAATTATGTAAACGACAAGAGTTTTTTGGAGTTTGTTTGACAAATATCAAGCAGGAAACGATTTCCAGACCTTACTCATGTTTGCTAATGGGGGTGAACACATTACGTTACCCCTTTCAGGGTGCGCTTTTGTTTGTGATCGCAGGAAACGTATACGTATCATGATAACGAATGTACAAATAAATCTTCCCTTTTTCCTTCTGTTTAGTAGTACCAAAAGGTTTTGAAAAGATTTTTTTTTGAAAAAAAGAATGTTTTGTTATCTTTATCTTCTTTTGTCTTTCTGATTTGATTTAACCAAGATTAATCTTAAAGCGCATTTCACTACATAGGTATGGAGAGAATCGAAACGCATCGGTCCAGTCGAAATCTGTCTCTGTAATCTTCTAATAACTATTGATGCGCATTGTTGCCATTCGGGACGGGTAACAATGGCAATGTCGGATTTCTATTTGAGTTTACAGCGACTGTACGCCCCTATTGTGTAGCTGTATCGATTTACCTTGCCACGCAACGCAATTATTAACAATTGAATGGGCCGTTCCGTGTATAATTTGTCGGCTACATAAAACAACCATTTGGTGATTTATGATGAAGTTGTTTTTTAAGCCCAAGATGATTTATTGACTTTTTAACTAGATTATATCAACAAAAAGCAATTATTGACACTCTTATTCCATATTAAGGCAAACCTAAATAGATTATACCACTTGATTTGCAAAACTAACACTGCTACTTCATCTTGAAGATGTGTCCTTGAATCACTCCCTATTGGAATGCAGAATTTGGCCGAACTGCAACTTTAGCCAAATGATTGTAATCGAAACATAGAAAATATTTCATATTGCATCATAATTATGTGACCTCCGGGGAAACTAGCCGCTAATGTGCGTAAGCTGGATGTATGCCAAACTGTAGTTGATATTAAATTGGGTGAGATATATTAAATTATTCAATAAACTACGATGCAGGTTAGTCGTCTATAAACTAATACTCTGTGGTACCTGTATCTCAGACGAGTACTTACTTTTCAAACTGAAAAACAAGTTTTCCTCTATTTTGAGATGTACGAGAACGCGAAGTTGAAGTGAAGTGAACTAAACCAACGGCTTCCAACTTGTTGGAGCAATTCAAAATCATTATACGCATTCTTTTCTCGACGAACCGTATGCCGATCAACTTAAAATGATTTCACTTTCTGATAATAAAGTAGGAAAAAGAATTTCCGATATCTTTGAATGTTTTTGTGGCTAATTAATAGAAAAGTTAAATAAAGTAACAGATGTAATTAAGGATGCATAACTTGATTATGTATGATATGTTAAATACTGTAGCGAGCTAGGAATGAAAAATATAAACTGACAATATTTTTCGTTAATTTACAAATAACACTGGTGCACACGAGATAGTTTTACAAACTTGACGGAAGAGTGAAAAAACATAATGATAGTGGAAGATCCAGAGCATTTTAATAATAGTGCCAGTGATTGAGATCAAGATAATCTAGAAATAGAGTATCGGTATAGGACTCAAATGATAGCGGCAATGAAGTGGACTTAACTGTCCTATACAATAGTATTAATTTGAAACTTGTAAACAAAATCAGTTTTTAGTGAAACCTAACTAATCGTTTACTAATCGTAAGTTTGAAAGGAAAAAAAGTTTCAAAAGTGGAGAGCAAAATAATCCAACACAGGTAAGAAATCTGCTTCAAGAAACCTTATCCTTTTTATATCGTACTCGAAAGGTGAAGCTAAGAAATGTATGGAAAAATAAGTTTTTAATTTTTTCACCTACCACAACAGAAGAACTACAACTTATTGTCAGACAAGCTTGATATGATGATTTTCGGTTCGTTCTATAGAGCCTACATAAATTGTGACAGGTTTATTTCTATGAACTGTTTCAGGTTTGATGCAAGAGAACGCAAGAAATAAACATCAATGATTATTAATTCCAAATCATCATACACTCTACCATCTCACCTCACCTTTGAGGGACAATTCTTAGGATTTTGTACATACCCAATTAACCGTCAAAGTATTATTTTCTAGACAGCGTTCTCTTTACAACTATTCCTACTAAATTGGTTATTTCTATAATTGAGAAGGATACATAAAGGAGGCAAAAAGAACATGCTACTAGGTGTATCCTCACCCGCTCATATAAAACCTTAATTCATTAAAATCATCCGGTTCTATGTTATTGCCCTACCTTCACATATAAAGGTCAATACTATCAACACTTGTTTGGCACCCTTAATGGTAATCCCTTACATCTTATTTTACCATTAATACTCCACGGGTGACCTACTTCTTACGGTTTCACAAAGTGGCCTGTGAAGTGTCTTTATTTTTATATAAGTAGATATTATCATATCTGTTCTCTTTCTTTAGTTTTCTTGGGATTGCCAAACCTTTATGGTTACAATGATCGTGTATAATTTTCAATAGAAGCTAAGTCTTCTAAGTAAGCCTCTTTTCTTGATAGCCTTGTCATCAGAAAACGTAATGACTACGAGGGATACAATTTTTTAGTTTAGATTTAGATTTTCTTAATTATCTTAATTATTTAAAGACTTCTCTGCACGTTAACTGGTTTGATGTCTGGCTAGTTTCATCCAGAGGCCAACCTTAGATACATAGATTCTATTTAATATCAGGATTCTAACTAAAAGAGACGTCTCTTTTTGGATATGACCCAACAATCATCTTCAATTAATTTTAGCAATAACATTCAAAATTTAAGTATCATTTCACTGTCATTTCGGTGTCAATAAGCTGATTGTGATTGTCCCAAGATTACTAATGTTAATTCTGTGAAATATCTCGGCATTGCGGTGGATCAATATTTCAGGTGGGATGTGCATATTGGTAATATGTGTAAAAAACCAAGATCCATAATATTCTTGATCAAAAGACTGTCAGATATCTAATTAGAAAAATTACGCACAATCCAAAGGTTGATTGTAATTATTTATAAAATATGAGGTATTATCAATCTATGTTCAAACTGTAGTAAAATATGCGTTACAACACCATGGAAATCCAACGAGTTGTAGACCATGATCATGATACTCTAGGACTCGTATGAGGCTTTCCGGACATTCAAGTTAAGCAATGTAAACATGAAAATGGTATAGCTGTGGTTAATTGGTGTAAAAACATTACACACTTTGTAATGTAAAGAGGGTAGCATGTGGGACTGAGGTCACACCGGCATCGACGTGAATTTCAATGAAGTAGTTTGATTAGTCACAGTTGGAAACATATTTCTGCTAGAAGATTCATTATTCTAGTAGGAGACTAAAATAGAACTTGAACACATAAATATACATATAGAAATAGGATATTAATGCATTAATATTTATTTAAAAGCAATGCATTTCCAGGACAATGTTAATAGTCGCCGCAGAGGAAGTACTTTTTCAATGATAAAGAGCTAAAATTACTTCCTGTAACATATAAATATTATACCAACTAGTTATAACAGTACATTTGTATTCGATTTCATTTCATAAACGAATGTCTATTATTGATTTGGTGTCCAAAATCAGTTGTAAATATACAATCGCACATACATGAATTCTTGGCTGTGATGATTAACGTTCGGGTTGTGCACGTTCGATACTCGCTAACTTTATTATGAAACTATACTGCGCGTCTGTGTATATGCGAGAGTCCTGTTCGCAATGTTCGGACATACGTGAAACTCTCCCGGTTAGAAATGAAATTCTGGAAAACGCTGAAAACGCAAATGCGGATGTACGCTACCCGACAAATATGCAAAATATGCTATTCAGAGTTTGGTACGTGAATATTCTCTCTTAACATCTTCATTTAGTACTCTAATTTTAATTAATGTTCTTAATTGCGCAAAGATAATTGTTAATTATATTAATTTGAGGGGTGTGGGAAACAAGACGTTATTTTTGAACCTAATTTACACCTTCCTCTCGTGTACAAAATGGTCCTTACCCTGAGCGCTGTACGTGACGTTATTAACAACGTCACGTAAATCAAATCCTGGCTAACAAAAGCTGGTCACTTGGGGAGGGGTCGCATTTAGCGTTTTGAAGGGAGATTAGAACAACGAGAACCATTTACAAGGACTATTGTCAGTGTGATGCTTCTATTCTACTAAATCTTATTCAATGGTGCACATTTGTGTATTTCAAAATGTTGATAAATAATTGGGGATGAGGTTCAGCTTTATCGCAGCACCGAAATCAGTTTACCGGTTTGCGTTTGGTTCGCAATTTGGGCGATAGTCAGTAAAAAAACAGGAAGCTTTTTTTCTCTGAGTTTGGCTGGTTTAGCGGAAAAAAATCCCGCTGAGCAAGCGGTCGTTCGATACGCGCCGTCGAATTTTGACAGTTCCGGGCATCAATTTCGATATCGGGGTCCGGCTGTCCATCGTAAATTACTCAGTAATTACCGGAGAATATCGTGTGTCGGCGCAACTCAAACAGGTAAATGTTTGTTACAGCTGACAGTTCGATCGATAACGGTTTACGCACCAGTCACGCATCTAACAATTTATTAATATAACATTCATATCAAGAGAAAATTATTAAAACATATGGTTTGTTAAGATTTAATGTACAACATGATATTCCAATAACTTACCGATAAAGGTTTTTGTACTTTACTGCTAGAGCTCTTAGTGTTGGATTTCGAGTTGGATTTTAAATTAGTTTTGGTGGTGACCGAATGTGATTGTCTCTGCGTCTGCTCCATTATTTGATGGATCAGGTCCAGCTGCTTCGTTAGGCCGTCGTTGGCACCACCTCCCTACAAGTTTTAATAACGACTTTACGTCCCGTCGAGAGCAAACAGTTTCGGGCTGCGCTGATGCCGCCCTGTAAACAGGTTTTAACGAAATTACCCCGGGATTAATGTGAACTTTGCCCGGGGTATTAAATTAAAACCGGACGAAACTTATCTATATTAGTTTAGTGGTAATCCTACAGCTGGGATGCGCGCAGAAGAGACTCTTATAACATCATTGAAGAGGGACGCGTTTAGGGAACGGCAGAAATAAATTTTCCTTCATTTTAAAAGATCCCGCTATTTTTAAAACCCAATTTATGTAGAGCCCATTTGAATTTCGCGCGGCGCCCAATTTATCAGCACGTTTCCCTTTTCTCTCTCTTGACCGAGCGCGTTATCGGGTCGTGAAAAATGCCCGGAAAATCTCGAGTTCGGACCGGGTTGGTCATTTGTACGGCTTAAGGAAATAATTTCTACCCCCTAGCGGCGCTGCCGTCTCCACGAACTACGAGGGCGGGAAATATCACGCCAGCCGTCGTAATTTATTAACTGTCGATACCCCAACCCCCAATTCGAACTTCCCTATTTACTACAGAGTTCTTTTTAGAACATCTAAAATATTTAAAATTTAAGAACTAACCTTAACAGGTTCTGTTGCTAAAAGTTGTTGTAACTGACTTTTTCCTGTCGAATTACTTGATCCACTATTTCCTAAAGAAGTAGTCGTAGTGGTGGTTGTTGATGTAACCGATGTCGTTGGTGGAGGTGCATATTGAATACAGCTTGACCCATGAGGCGAAGCTGCATCACCGGAAGCTGCTCCTTGAGCTGGAGACATTGTGGTGGCTCCATTAGAAGACCCACTGCTATGATGATTTTCAGTGTGTCTTCTCAATGACCGCGCATCGCAATAACTTTTTCCGCATCCCTCCGCTTTACACTCGTACGGTTTTTTGTTCCTATGGGTGAGCATGTGACCATTCCTGCAATGTTTTTTTTTGAAACAATTCCTTCAACAAGAAGTTTGTGTTGCCTAGGTGAGACAACCTTTGGCAAATGTAACACTTACAGGTGATCCTGCCGCTTGAACGCTTTTCCGCACATGTTGCAGATGTATTTCCGTTCGTCGCTGTGTGTAAGCTTGTGCTTGGCGAGGGCTGACGCGTTACCGAAGACTTTTGAGCACACCTGCGAACGAAATTCGAGATCAGGAAACGTGTTTACACGGGTCGGTTATGCGGACGAGTCGCATTTCTTGGCCACGAGCCTGATACGGAAACGTCGCAACGATTCGGTCCTTGTTCGACTTGTTACATTCAACACCAGACGCTCCTTATTATTCGCTTTTCGTGGAAGTGTATTCGTTTTTTGAGAGCTCCTTTGTTCCGTTTTGAAACGTTTCGCATATTTATTACGTTCGAAACGAATTTTTATTAGATGCTATATGCAAACAAATTTTAAAACATTTAAATTTTTAAAAATCACAATTGTTAAGGAGTAGGATAGCAAAGTTTCCGAGACACTTTAAAATCAGTTAATGGCATCATAAAAGAAATGGAAAAGATTTCCCAACCCAGATCATCACTAATGGACTTTTTTTTAAGTAAATCCCTCCTTTTTTCAGCCGAAATTTTCCTCGAAACAGACACGATTGGTGAATTACCGGTTAAAAAATGTCGTAAAAAAAGTTGCCACGTTTCTGGTGTTCTAATTTTAATGCAATCATCATTACGTCGCGAATGGAGAAGTTTTCCCCCGATATCCTCGAATCGTCCGGGTTATAAAACTGGCCCGAACAAGAATTTTCCGTTCAAAACTCGGACGCAAACGAGTGCGAAGCAAAGTCGTAATTGCTGTTCAATTTAGAATTTCGAGAGACGAACGACGTCGACGTCGCCGGCGTCGCTTTACCCTCTCGGCCATTAGTCAACGCGCGTCTGTCTAGGGAAAACTTCGGTTTTTCACTCTAATGACCGACCCGTTTTTCCAACCCAGACTAAAAGCGACGCGCGGGCCGTCTCCGTGTCTAATTTAAAACTGAAACTAACTATCCAAGCAATTATACGCAAATACACCTAAACAGATTGTATAACATTTAAATTTAAAACTTAAACTCCTAAATTTAATAACGTTTTATTTACGAAAATTGTCTCGTAAATCAACTCCTAGAGAGACGAAGTTGTTGTTTGCTGCAACGAGAACGCTCCAAGGTGTTCCGTTGTGAATTGTGGCGTAACGTTATAATTGAAAGTCGTAAGAATGATTTGTAAGCCGAGCGAATCTTTGCCACGTTTTCGAACGGACAATGCGACTCGAAGCGTCGGTAATGAAGTTATATTTGGCGCAGGTGGGCGTGGAGTTGCCAGAATTTACGTGCCAATAAAAGCTGAAAGCGCGAACGAATGTCAACATGAATCTTCTTCGCGTTCGTACTCTTTGAAACTAAGTATCCAGTTGTTGGTGCTATATTATGACAAATTACTTATAGCTTTAAACGCATCTTTTTGTCTTTTCCGTTATTACATATTGCAACATTCATTAATCTCCATATATCTACTAATACTATTTACTTTGTCGCTTATTGCAGTTAATTTCAATATCAGCTAATTAATTTCCTCTAATAACCACACACGACCGCTTAAGTATCCATATACACTGTATAATACGTATTGGTAACAAAACGGTTTCGGGTTCGTGGAGTTATAGCTCTGTTAATTGTTGCCCGGTATTGATTTATCGAAAGGGCTTAATTAACAATGGTATTTCTGGAAATTGGATTTTTAATTTTCCTCGAACCAACTCAGTTCAGCGTACATCGTTCGTTTAGCTATCATTTGCATTAATTAATACCGTGCATACCCATCAACTACAGTTCAAAGGATTATTTCAGTTTTATTAATTAAAATTGTTTAAATAAATACGAATAACATTGTTGGATTACCTGACATTGTTGAGGTCCTTGTCGATTTGGTGATACTGCTTTCGGTCGCGGTCTTTTTACCGTTAACTTGGACGCTTCCGAGTTGAGACTTGACGGCTTTTTCTCGTCCGTAGAAGAAACTGAAACAATAAGAGAAACACCGAGAGGTTTGAAAAAGGGGACACAACAAATTGCCTTCCGACGAAGAAAAATTACCACGAAAACTAAACCGCGATTTGAAAATCGAAACTTGCCAATACAAACGAAACATCCTTTCCCATCACTTATACATTCGATGCTTTCGTTTTCTCACTTTGTTTTCTTTTTTTTTTTTTGGTTTTTCCTCGCTTTCGTATCCGCCCTTTATGCTTTTCTGTTTATCGACCTACTTTGCTTTTCTCTACTTCCGAGAAGCGATTATTTTAACCGAATTCAGGCGGTTGTTTGTTTAATGGAAAACGTTCGATTAAATTTTTTCTGGATTAATATTTAGTTTCACGAGGTTTTCCAATAATCCAAGTTTGTTTAATTTTTTAACCAAATGGAAATCGTTTAAGTATTTATTACTAGGGCGAAACACAAAATTCGGATAAACTGTGGTACTTCCAGACTTGGCAAATAATAAATTGAATTAGTTGAAGCATCTCGAAGGAAAAGGTAAGGTGAAACCGTTCCGGAAAATTGTTTGCATAGCTTGGTTCTTTTTAATTACTTCGACCGCTTTGAAAATGCCCTCAAACCTCTCTGTTCACTCGTACTTCCACCTCGTGTTGGTAATTAAGTCGGGATAAGGGGGCGGGCCGAGGAAAGCCGTCGGATTAATTATGTTTTTGCGTGGTTGGCGCGCCTGCACTTCCGCTATTTCGCTAGTTATGTTCACGGAAGTACCGCTAATTAAGCCTTCTGTTGCGCATTCTTTATTATAGTGGGACCTTTTACTACTCACAAACTAAAACCCTTAATTGTTCATTAGAATCGAAATCACCAAATTTCAAGTTTTATGTTTATTTGAACTTATATTTTGACGTTCTAGACTCTTGAGGGACAAAGAACGTCGAACGTCGATTTATTATTCATGCTCTTGATTGAAGTATCCGTTAAAGTCGTCGTCTTCGTCGTCGTTATTGCCTCGGGAGAAGAGATATAAAACGGGAAACCGGGCAATCGAAATTCCAAATAGCTACTGTCACAGGGGTTTGGGGGCGGCCACAGTGGCTCCAAATCAATACGTCTTCGCCGCGCGTTTCTATTCGGCTACAACATAACGAATTCAGCGCGGAACGTCTCGGGAAATATTGTTTCAAATGTCCCGGCACGTCCGCGCCGTTTCGTATTAATTTTTGATGGGACACGTCGCCAACGAATCCGGGAAGAGACGACCAAATTTGCAATCCTAACGAGTGCAATGTGCAACCGCTCCTATTTCTCTATTTTCTCCCTTCTTAAATAGTTAATTTTTTTAACTTTTATTGTCATATTTTATACCGAGAATTTCATATAACTCGCAATATATAAATGCAGTAACCATAGTTACGAAACTATTATGCACTTGCACTGTCCCACATTGAGCCCCATTGGGTAGTTTTGGAAAAGCGGTCTTATGCCTCAGCAAAGGGCATCTAAGGACGCTCTAGGGTTTCCTGACCGGCCATGCGCCTCTAAAATACCACCTCTTCCACATTGAACAAGCTGAGGATCAAACTTGTCGGCTTTGCAACGACGAGTCAGAAACTGCTGAATATATACTGTGTAACTGCGTTGCCAAAGGCCGCCTAACCTTTGACACCTACCGACATAAAGGAACAAGACCTTTTAGCACCTTGCTACTAATGGTACCTTGTCTCAGCCTACTAGAATAAATAATTGTATTGACAACTTCAATAATTTCAATACTACCGGGATTGAATCAAATTTAGCAGATCATAGGGCGCAAGTGTTAGTATAGGGTAAAACGCCAGTAATTGACCGTTGGTCAGTGTTTGACCGTTTTTGTAAAAAAATGTAAAAAATAAGGATCCAAGGAATATCTAAAAAAATATAAATATATCCATAAATAGCCACCAGTCTCCTCTCCACTCCCTAGTACGCAAAAAGTCCACGACCATAACGTTCTTGAGTTGTTATTGTTTAATTTCGCGCTAACTGGCGGCCTATTCGCATCGTGCTAAAAAGCGTAATTTTATGTTTAGAAATTCGCCCAAACAGGGTAGTACTATTCAGCCGTACTTGCATGTATGATGTTTTTTTTTGTTTGCCAGTGATCTAATAATGTTTTCTATTGGTTATATTAAAAAAATACCGCTTTAATTAATTGTTTGATGAAATACAGCTGGTCAATGACTGGTAGTTCTAAATTTAATTAAAAACTAGCGTTTGACCAAACGGTCAAATACTAGACGAATTGGTTGTTTTATACTCTCGCAAGGATTTATATTTGATTAATAAGATGGAAAAATGTGTAATACCTGTTTCTAAAACTTATATCTTCCCGTTTAAGTTGTTTAGTATTTGACCAAAACTTTTATAGTTTAAAAGTGAAATACAATCATTTTAAATATGCGGTCAATTACTGGTTCCTCTTTTGGTCATTTATAGGACACAAACACTCAAAACTGAGTTTTTTAACTGATTTTAAATTTTATAAATATTTAAGCGTAATATAAATATAAGTGTAAATGTTTGATACTTTTCTATTTCTTTAAACCTTTTTTATAACAATAAAAGTAATTGACCGCACTTAAGCAGTAATGAGTCTGTAAAATTAAAAGGATAAAAGGTTGGTCAAACGTTGACTCTTATAGTGGTCAATTATCAAAAAATGGAAAATCTATATGGAAAATTTAGCAAATATGAATCAGGATAACATTTCTTCAGTACCAATATGACAACGAAGCCTAAGATTAAAAATAGTGAAGAAGATCTTCAAAAGACTCTCGATGTAAGAAGTAGGGTTTATCTTATGAAAAAGCAGCCAAGATGTTTAACGTTCCAAAGTAAAATTTTATTTATAAAGAAAAAGGAAAAACACCAGTGCAGAGGAAAATGGGCACACCGGCATATTTAAGTTCTGATGAAGAAAAACTGCTGGTTGAATGTTTGTTTCATTTAGCAGATAGGGGTTTTCCTGTTTCAAAAACCAAGTTGGAAAACACAAAATTTGGGTGAAAAGGTAAGTCAAGAGCATTTTGCTCCTGTTTTAAAAGATGTTCTTAAAGAGTCAAAAAATATTAACATTTTTTTGTGAACAAAATAGTATGAAAAAATAATGAAAATGAATATTATATTAAGAATCGGTAAAACATTGACGGTTTTAAGGTCAAAGACTAGATATTATTGGTCAAGTAATGTAATCAAAGTGGTCAAACACTAAATGCGAAATACTGGTTTCCTTTTTAATTTTTAAAATATTACTTCATGATGTTATATTTTATATGTAGGGTAAGTAACTTTAAATGAATCAGATGTGTATTTGATCATATTTTGATCATTTTATGTAAAGGCAGAGGGATCTACAAGAAAAATAATATGGCTCGGTCAAACACTGACATTAAAAAATCCTTAACAGGTCAAACACTGGTGCGTTTACCCTACCGACATTTTAACACGTGGAATCAATTCGATTGGATAATTTAGAGTGAGGTTGGTGGTAGCGTGAATGATGCATATGGAATGTTTCATAATGTCATTATGGGGGCTTTTCATGCGTCTTTTCCACTATGTAAAATAAATCTCAGGTCTTGTGGTGACGGCCTCAATTGGTTTAACAATGATTTGAAACACATAAGGGAAATGTATAACTCTTTTTGCAAGTTTTATAAAAAATTTAAAACGGATGACTTACTTCATGCTAGAAATAAAGAAGAAGACTTAAAAGAGACTTAAAGAAGACTTCGAGTGAAGTTATTAAGTAGTGCAGGAATAGACCGAATGAAATCTGAAATCTTATTAATAATACTAGGCGAAGTGGTATGAATGATGACACTTCTCATTTAAACCCTAATGAATTAATTAATTTTTTTATTGCCATTGTTGACGAAGGCGTGTACTTTTCGTGTTCTGAAGTTACGCCGATTGAAGTTCATGATCTGCTTTGCAGTTTAAAATCTAGTAACTCTAAAGACATTTATGGCAATTCTGCAAACTTTGTGAGAAGTAACACCGGTTTATATGTGACGCCCTTTACCACATTGGTACCGCATTCATCTAGCGTATTTCCTGACTTATTAAAAATGGCTAATGTAATTCCAATATTTAAAGACGGTGATAAAAACAACAATGCTAATTTTCGTCCTAAAGTATTCTGCCCACTTTTTCCAAAATATTTGAACGGGCTCTTTTCAACAGAATCATCGCATACTTGAACCAAAATAATTTATTGCACCCTCATCAGCTTGGCTTTCGAAAGGGTCTCTGACGCGGTTATTAAATATATGAATATCTGTCATGACAGCTTTGAAAAGCGTGAATACTGTATGTCATTGTTTTTGGACTTATCTCGTGCATTCGATACAGTATCTCATTCAAATCTTATTGATAAATTTTGCAATGTTTATAATTTTGACGACAAATGTGTTGGTCCAATCTTATTTGTCCGGCAGAACGCAACAGATCACTTGTGGTCAAATAACATGGGAAAAAGTCACTTTGACTCGGGGTGTTCCACAGGGTGTTCTATCTTTTATTTTTGATATTTTTCAATGACTTTCCGTACTATTTTAGGGACATTGACTGTTTATTATATGCTGACGATGCCACTTTGATTATCCGAAGCAATGAAGCTGAAGAAGTCAGCCAAAGATCAGAATTGGTTCTAGATAGAGCACGAAAATGGTGCATCGCGAATGAGTTGTGTTTGAATAATAAGAAAACAGTCAGAATGATATTAAGTCAGAGAAATTGTAATTTTACTAATTTTGGTAATCCATCGTTTGGTAAATTCTTGAAGTTGTTTGGAATTCTATCTATTGAAGTTTGATCATGTTGACGTTATAAGTAAGGAAATTTCAAAAAACATCTTTTTGCTACGAAACTTTATTGTCAAGGAGGAACTAGAAGTAGTAAAAACCGCTTACTTCGCGCTTATACAAAGCCATATAGCAATACTATAACTAACACTAGATCGAGAACTAGAAACATTTAGACATGTTGCATTTTATGTGGGACAAAGTAAGTGATTTCTATGGAAGTATATTTTTGCATATTGCATTTTAAGTGAAATTCACTATATTTTTGTTCCTCTATTTTAGAATTTAACATATATAAAATTTCACAGTAACCTAGATAACAATCTTGTATAATAATACACCTTGTTATATCTTTCAAACTTTTCGCCATCTTTTGTGTCTTTTATAGTATGCAAGAATATTTTTATTCTTATTATTGTTGGTGATAGTTATGATATGAACACACGATGGTTTGTTAAAAGTTGAGTTATTAGATGGAGTCTTCTGTTGACAATTCCCGGAGGAAATAAGATGTTTGCGTTAACTTGAACACTCTATTACCAGCGGGAGCGTCACGCCGACCCGTCAATATCAATAATGCCAATTTTTGCGAATGCAGCACGCTCTGTACGTGTTTTCACATCAGTACATGCGCTCTTTGTGCCCCTTTTTCCCTCGCCTAACTCGATTTTTCGACACCGCAAAATTTCCGATGAAAACACATACAGGCAATCGAAAAAAAATTATAAATTTTTCTTACTTGGAAAAAAATTTGTGAAAATTTAATTTTCCAACGTCAGAGCAGCAATTCTGGCTTAACGCGGCGTAATTAAAACAAGCGTAAACGAGCGAACGTGGTGGAATAAAACATTTTTAATTAGATTTTTTCCATTGCTCCTCCCACGGAGGTTGGAACGAAAAAAAAAATTCGAGTCAAAGTATACGCCGAAACTCAGCTTTCCCATTTTTAATGGCCGTCCAGCGTTACTCTTTGTTTCGGATCACGGTGCGAGAATTAAAACGCGACCGACGTCGCCGCAAAAACGCGATCTGACATCCTTTTCCTGTTCATAACTCTCCAGTAGATGGTGTCTACTTTACCTACCCTTTCAGAAAAGCACAATGTTGTTCAAAAATTTTTGTTGTGTTAATAATTAATCTTATTTAGAAAACTTTTGACTTTACAAGAAATAAGTGGCATTCGAGATAATTTTATCGCATTTTTGGTCATCTTCGATGGTCTATTTTTGTCGTCCCTTGAAGTGTTTAATTTAAAGTTTTCCGGACGATCGATGCGGGTCGTTTTTACCCGGAGAAGAAAAATGTGAACTTCCGCCTGATGGTAGTACCTTCGGCGACCGCTAAACGGCGCTCCCGAAAGTTTTCGCTGCGAAAAGTTTTGTGAGCTGAAATTTACAAGACGAATGCCGTCGGGGAATCTGTTGCTTAATTAAGAACTTGCCCTAACGAGTCGGTCAGTAGTTTCGCGGAAAGTTGGTCGTCGGCTATGGCCGTCGTAACTTTCGACG